AAATAGAATGTCCACTTGAACATGTGTAGCCACTAAATGTAACATTTACAGTAATAAGAAAATCCATTAATTCCTTACATACACACAAGCATAAGATAAGCACAGTTCTTAACCTTAAAAATCAAAGTATGTAAAGTAACTAGTCACTTTGTTTCAAAAAGTTTGAAAAAGAAAGAAAGAAAAAAAAAAAGAAGCCAAACAGATTGTATACAGAATTATTTTGATATTTTAATGATATTTCAATTTAGAAACAAGATTCTACCAATGATTAACTTAGGCTTATCAATATGACTAATTCATAAAGGTTCAAAAAGAAAGACTTATTACTAAAAATCATTAGTAGTGAGGGCAGAAGATGTGTACAAAGTTTAATAGTGACTGGCATTATTATTATTATTGAAAAAACAAAAAAAATCATATAAGGGAAAAAATAGCAAATTTTAAGAGAATTTATATCTGAAAGTAAGTTTTAAAATAAACCCACACTTATAAGATTTAGCAAAGCTCATTTAAAAAGAGATTAGCACAAGAATTCAACTCAGTCCAAGAATTATAGAAATATTTTTAAAGAAATACATTCAAAAGTGATGCCATTTGAATTATTCCATTAACAAGAAAGGATTTTAATTTTTAGATTAACCACTTACAATTAAATTCAGTCTACAATGTTGTCATACTTTTATGAAAAATGACCCAAATAGATGAAATGATTGAAGATAAATTATTGCTATAATTTATTTAATACTTTGAGAAAAAAAAAGAATGGTACCCCCCCAAAACAGACCAACATTTATAAAATTGCAGTTGATGATAAAGTATAGTTTTTGTCCCCAAATAGTGATAAGTTTGAACAGTGACTCAAGCAGCAAACATTTTGTAATCACAATGAAATCAGTTGGTTAGGCTTGGTATGTTATTACATACACACCACAGCAAACAGTAGCATTAACTGCAGCAACAATTGAATATATTAATAGAAGAATGGCATCACTAGCACAGTGGAAAAGAAAAGAAAAAATACAAAAAAAAAAACACAAAAAAGAAAAAAAAAAACACAAAAAAAAAAGAAAAAAAAACAATCAAACAAAAAGATCAAAACCAAAAACAAAAACCAAGAAAAAATACAAAGTAAAATCAACATCAATGGTGGGCCAGCTCTTACTAGTAAGTAGCATCAAATAATAACCATCTAAATGCAAGAATATGGTGATTAAAAACTAGAAGGAAAAAAAGTATAAAACAAAATAAAGACATGCTTTAAACTAAAGACTAAGTCACAAAATGGGTGAAGCTGAATAAAAGAAATTACATTAAAAATAAAATAAAAATAAAAAGTGAAACTAGTATCTGAATAAATTTCATTGTTGGTAGACAAATTGACACCTTTTTCTGCTGAAGATATAAAATGTTGATAGGAAAAGAATCAAATGTCATTTGAGTGAGGCAAAAGAAAAAAAAATTGACAAAACAAAAACCAAATTGACAATCAATAATAATTATATTCAAAATTAGAAAGTTTAAAGTTTATCAATTTGAATAACAGAAAGTCATTAACTTCATATTAACTTTCAGGTGTGAAAAATACATATTTTCAAATCTTAAACTGATTATTCATTTTAAACAGTGGTAAGCTCTTGCATCCATCTCCTCAGATACGAAAGAACATGCTGAACCTGAAGGATTTCAAATCAATTTGCACAAATATACAGTAGGAGTAAAGTAAATTGATATTTTAATTTTATGATTTTGAGTAAAACCTATGACATGGTTCAGAAAACATTCCAATATTAATAGATTTATTTTTCTTATGTAGGTGGGAATGCAGCTAATATATTTTCAACATTATTCAGACTGTAGATTAACCAAGGAAAAATAAGTCAATATTAAAAGAAAAATTACATATCACAAGCCTTCTTTTATATTCTAAAGTATTATTCATAAGATTTTAACTTTAGAGAATTGTATTAAAAACAATTCTTTTCTTCACATCTGCAGACAACCACCAAAACTTCAAACAGCTTTTAAAATTAGGAAAAAAAAAAAAAATCTTTGAAATATACAAATTATAAATTAAAATCAGTAAATATAGCTAAAGCAAAAAAATAAAAATAAAAAGATACCCAGACATTTTTTATGTTGTAGAAAAGTGTGTACATGTACGTATATACACAACAATTTTTTTTTCTTTAATTCAGCCAATTCAAAAAATCAAAAGTGAACTAGTTAACCTATAAATCTGCTCCATGCAGAGATGGACTAGGAAAATAAATCTAGTGTAAAAAAGAAAAGAAAAAGGAACAAAATATTGATGGCTTCCATTCCAGGATTGACCTGATGGCATGCAAACCTATGACCACTGACATTAGCAAACCGTGCATAGAGACATTGTCTCTTTTTGGACTAAATATTGGCCAATTCGTTTATATCAACATGCATCTGGCGTGAGGATAAATCAAATTCCACATTTTTTTTTTTTTTTAAAGAGAAATAAAACTATAATTAAACAATAATAAAATTAAGTTTTATCAAATATTATTCAAACAGATGCATAATTTCACACTTTCAAATTAGCATCTTATCTGGATATATTAAAAGAAAAAAGAAACTGGTTTACATAAAAATAATAGATTTAAAAAAATCTTATACAAAACTATGTAGTAAAGTTTGGTTAAAGTCAGGAAAAATCCAAGATTATTCCTTTATTTCTGCACAATATTTCCTGATACTTTTAAAAAAGCAGATAAAATCTTATTCTTATGCAAGAAAGCAAATCACTTAGATATCAAGTAACTGCATAAGACAAGAAAAAATAAATAAAAAGGCACAAAGCAAATAAGATAAAACATTTCAAATATACAAGAATACTTATTAGGCCATTAAGACATGAAATAGGACATAAAAATAAACAAATAAAAATAGACAGTCTCTATATGAAGGAAACTGTTTTCTGTGTTTAAAATATATTTTTCATTATATCACTCAAGAAAACAAAAACAATAAAATAACAGAAAGATTTGCTTTTTAGTTGTATTCTTTGATGAGGGAGCATTGAAAAATCCCAGGTCCAACCCACTTCCCAAAATCTGACAAAATATCAGATTTTATTTTGGGAAAGGATTCTTGAACAGACAGAGAACTTTCTGGCACACCTTGTATGAGATGTAATAGATGAACACAGAAAGAAATGTTAATGGATGAGTAAAGGTTAAAAGGTTAATAGATTAAAAATTTATATATGAGGGGAAATGCAGAACATAGAAAAGGACAAGAGTGATTATTTTCATTAGAGGGTAATAACAATTAAGACCTCTGTTATCTTCCCTGCTCTCATTAACTTTAGTTAGTCCAACATCTGAAAGAGTTGGTCATTACTCAGAAATACCAGATTTGTTTGTGTGCTACCAAGAAAACAGGAAAAAATGTTTTCAGTTACCCTGAAATAAAAGAGCATAGTGAACATAAAGCACATAATAGCAGAATGATTAATAAAAATTCACTTCACTTGAAATATAGGCTCAGCTTTAAAAGCTTGGTATATTTATATTTCTGGAATTTGAGAGAGAGAAAAGAAAAAAAAAACTATTTTGAGGGGTTATTGGAACCCGCTACCAAACTTCAAATCACTTTTGCAAATTAAATGGTCTTTGAGAGAGGAAAGAGAGAAGGAGAAAGGAGAAAAGAAAAAGGAGAAAAGTGAATGAAGAAAAAAAGAAAAAGAAAAGAAAAGGAGAAAAAGACCATAATTCAAATGCTTGGATAAACATTACAGTAGGCTAAAACTGTTATACTCTACAAGTTTGAAGGGAACATCTTAAATTCCATATTCTCTTATTATAAAGAGTACCAACATTTAGCACTCATTAAAGCTGAAAGAGACAGCAAAACAGGTTAAATACAATTAGTAAGAATACAATTAACACATAATTCAAAAGTTATAAAAGAAAAAAGGCTTTTCTACCAATTTTGGCTCAAAGATTTTAATTTAAAGATTAAACTTAATGACTACACAAATAAAATCAGTTTATAAGTTTAACATATTTAATATTAGATCATTGCAAAATTTTGTGCCTGATTAGAAAATTAAAAACAATGAAAAATCAGACACAAACTTTTGCAATGATCCAATACTTAATTGTATTACTTCTTTGCCACTGATGAAGACAGTGAAAACAAATTTTGTTTTATACTCAGTAGAGTATAAAAAAAGGTTGTAAGTGTAGTGTATAGTTAAAGAATGAATTTAGTGAGGCTAATAAAAAAGAGGGGAAAAGTGGTAATTACATTATATATAAACATAAAAAGCAGATTTTGACCCCCTCACCACAAAAAAAACCCCAAAAAACTTAATAGAATTTTCAACTAAAGCTGTAATGAGATAATCAGTAATCAGGTTAAGGTTTGATATAAAAAGCTATTTCTATGTCACTCAAGTGAGTTTTTAAATTTGTTCAACTGATTGTTTAATCTCAAAGCAAAACAACGTAGTCATTAATTCTTTAATAGGGGGTATCCTCTGAAGTGTAATCATATATATTAGACTCACTAAATACTACTGCTGTTTATAGAGACAAAATTATAAGAGCCTTTTCATAGATTTAGGAAACAATGAAAACAATAGTTAAAGGAAAAAAATAAATAAAAAGCATTCATTAAAAACACTGGTTAATATAAAACTTTCAAATAAACAGGCCATCAGATTTTGGGGCATTGCAACATCCAAACAAAGTAATTCATGCAATGCAGTTTTTTTTTTTTTTTTTTTTTTAAAAAAAAAAAAAAAAAAAAAAAAACTTTCCCAAAGAAAGAAAGAAAAAATTAATGGACTAAACTAATATATAAGCTTATTTATAAAATTATAAAAGAAAAAGCAATCAAATTCACTTTTCATACATTTCTTTTTCTTTTTCTTTTTGAAGCAAAGTGAAATTCTGAGTAGAGGAAAACCATGAGGAGTAATGGTGAGGGGTGGGAAAAATGAAATGACAAACCCAAAAACTTACCTGTTGCTGGAGTCGTGTGAGACCTCGAACCCAAAGTATCTGACCTCGCCTGCCAACATGGTCATCTGCCATCGGCGAGGAATCTATTTTTCCTACGTCTACTTCATCCATGTCCAGTTGTGTCTGGGATGTTGTTCCCCATGTACATATGTGGGGAAGTCTGTGTGTAGGGATGGTAGTGATGATCTGAAAATAAAAATTTCAAGTTTGGAATCTCATTAAGGAAAAAAAAATAGAGTATAACATTCACTATTTTATTGAGTGTAAATTTTGACAATTACTTTCAAAGATGCATATAAAAAATCTGTAAAGATAATTTCACAGAAATTGAAGTAGGAGTATCTCTTAAAGTGGAATCAGTATTTTTAGTCATGATATTAAATTGGTACACATATTCATTTGTTTTTTTCCCCTGATGTTCTGCAAATGATCTAAGAATATTTTGTAGCATTTTTTTGTTTTTTTAATAACTGTAATTATTCTGAGAAACTATTGCCTAATACTATTGAAATTTTGTTTCAGATTAGACATCACTTTGAGATGGAATGCCAAGTAGTCAAGCATGTTAGACATCACTTTGCTTTTAATCAAGGTCACAAAAGTACCAAAGCTGCACAAGACATTTATGCTGTGTATGGAGATGATTTCATTATTGACAGGAAAACCATTTCTGTGCCATTCTATTTCAAGGATGGGACGTTTGAACTCACAGAATCTCTGTTAACCAATTGCACTTGCTGATTGAAGAAGACTTGCACAAAACCACTAAGGAATTGTCTTAGAAGATGGCAAGCTCTTATGTTACTGTCATGGGTAAGGTCCAGAACCACAACTCATGGGTGCTACATACATTGACTGATAGAAACAAACTCCAGCAATTCTCCATTACTGCCAGTTTACTCACTTAATATGAGGCTACTTGTGGATACAAAGAAAGATTCATTTACCATATTATCACTGGGGATGAAAATGTCTTTACATGAATATGAAGCAGAGAAAAGGGTGGATGAGTCAAGAAACAGGCAGGTAACACCCTGAATCAAGACAGAACTTCATTTATGCAAGCAAATGATCTGTGTTTGGCGAGATTAGCAAAGACTAATTTCCTATGTAATACTTTAAAACAACCAAATGGTCAATACCAAGCTGTATGTTGAACAAATTCAGCTGAAAAGACCTAACCAGTGATACAGTATGATTATTCAATATAATAATGCTCACTGCTATGTAACTAACCTGACCAAACATGCAATTAAAGAGCTCGGGAGGGAAGTTCTGCTACATCCATCATATTTTCCTGATTTAACCCCTTCAGACTATAACCTTTTTTGGTTACTTTCTAACAATTTGAAAGGTGTTTCATTCAACAATGATGTGAAGCTTAAAACCTGGCTTGATGAATTTTTAGAGTTTAAAACTTAGTGACTGTTATTGTTGAGGCATTGAATAGTTAAATGGACTGTTGGCAGTAGATCATAAAGAAGGAAGAGAATACATTGTTGAATGATTCATCAGAATTATTAATAAATAATAAGTATTAAATTATAAAAAAAACAAATTTATGTAACAAGCTAATAGGTTTAGCCAACTAATCTAAACAGTGAAGAAATGTTTGGACTGAAATATTTTGTAAAAAAAAAAAAAAAAAAAAAAAAATCATATCCTTTCAGGATGTAGATGATCATAGCTCTCCACAAATTCCCTTTATCATCTAAATTGCTATCTTTTCTTGTGAAAGATAGAGTGGTCTCCTGTTGTTTTCTCCTTAATATGGAATTCAGTTTACTGCCCAAGGCTACAGAGCCCAGTCTTCTTTACTATTTTATTCTTATTTAACCCATAGTTGGAGGTAGAAGGGATGATTTCATTAATGTAAAAGTGAATGCGAAAGTAGGCTGGAATTTGAACACAGCTTGCTGATTCAACTCTCCATGTCAATAACTGTTACACTACATGTACATTCATATATTGTAATTAAAATATAAAAAAAAATCTATTCAGCTTCTCTTCCTCAGATTTTGATAGAAATTATTAAATCCATCATCAAAAGCAAAGTGTTAGAAGTATATGATCACATAAAATGTGCTAAATCATGTCTGTCCAAAATCTGTTTAGAAGGTATGTAAGTGGCAAAAGAAGTAGAGGTAGATAACTAAAATGATAGAAATCAATAGCCCAACCTTGACTTAGCAGAATTTAATACAACCATTCAAAGTTGAGCTCTTTTGAGAGAATGGTCTCATATTTGAGCATAATCTGCTGTAGGTAGAGATAACTTAACCAAAAGAAAAAAGTTTTATAGTTTTCCTTTTTATATTAAAGTGTAATCTTCTTAAGTTCATGATAGAAGAGATTAAAGTAAGCATATTCATTTGTTTTCATTATCTTTTCAGGTACACGATTTATGTTTAGGGGGGAAAAACAATTTACAGTACACAATTTTCTCTTATTTTTCTTCTTGACAAAGACAAATTCTGTTGATGAAATTCTATTTGTCATGTCTGATTTGGGCTTCTCTTTCTTGCATGTGTTAGAGTTTTTCCTAATGTATAATTTAGGGATGTCCAATACATAGGATAGCCATGGCATACATACAATGGTTTAACTGATTTTTGTTGATATTTACTTAACATTGGGTTTAATTTCACTATATTTGGAGAATTTATCAGAGACAAACTTGAAAATCAATTTGCTAAATTTAGTTCTGATGGTGCATATATTATTGCATTACAAAGTGTTACTGAGAAATTTAAAATTAAAAAACTAAATTACTTCAACTTGTACAATAGAGCAGGAAATATTTAATTTATTTTAGAGTATGGGGACTTTTGTTTTTTTTTTTAAGAAATAAATTTTAGTGAAGCAAATTTCAAGTACCTATTTAAGGAATGCTTCTTTCATATTAAGACTTTGATGAATTTATATTTGCAAGTTTCATTTTTGTAGCCAAAACATAAACACAGTAATTTCTAAATGGATTTTTTAATCCAACATTATTTCTTGCTATTATAATTTTATTTTTAGTGGGTGTATGTGTTTGAAGTAACATTCCTGTTTTTTTTTTTTTTTTTTTTTTTTTAACACAGTGAAATAACCATTGGCCTCAATTGAGAAGTTCGGCTAAAGAAAAATGTGCTTCCCGACATGTAATTGAACTTGGCTTTCTTAATTTCTTCTGTAGTCACATTGGTAACAACACACTTGGACTACAGGAGTAGTTTCCTTGATGGGTAAAGGGGATATGTGTGTGCACATTATATATATATATAAAAAGAGCAAATAGGAAACATTTATAAGTCTAACATGTTTTGCTTTCATTAAAACTTCATCAGAAGAAGAGATACAGAGATGCTAATAGGTGTGCATCCTGTGTCCCTGATGCATAAAAATCTTAAAGGATGCTGTAACTTTCCCATCTGTGTGTACCAGGGACACAACTAAACATTCCCATGCAAGGTGAGACATTGCACAAAACTAACCCATAACAGTTATGACATAATAAAAGGAATTTGTTGTTGGCCAATACTATGTAAACAATAACATCAATTTAAAATGTAACTCACAACTTTTTTCTGTGATCAAACATGAATCTTTTGTCAAATGAACTAGATATTGATGGTAATTAACCTATAGATATTTTTTTAAACATTTTGTATTTTTGTTGTTAATGTATTTTTTAAAAACTACGTAGATTTATTAATTTTTCAAAAAAGAAAAAGCAAATTTTATTCTATCAATTATATAACCCCCACCAAAAAAAAATGATAATTCTAAAAAAATATAGTTAATTGAATTATGATTAAGTGCAAATACTGTTTTTGTACTGATTTTATTAATTTAAAAAAACCTGTCATAATTTGCAAAAAGTATATTTTCTTAATTGAACTGTTTTTGTATTGAAAAAAAAAAAAGTTTCTTCATAGAAATGTGATTACATGTAAATATTATTTTTGTTTTAACTTTATTGATTTAGTTGAAAAAAAAAAAAAAACTTTTGTTCTACCAATTTAAAAAATTGGTTCTGTCATAATTATCAAATAAATATAGTTTTTGCTTTGAATTTATTAAAACAAATAAAAAAAAACAAAACACTGTCATGATTCTCAAAAATATAGTTCTTTAATTGAATTATGATTAAGTGTAAATACTGTTTTTGTATTGATTTTATTAATTTAAAAGTTGCTCTATCAATTTAAGTGATTTGGCATGATTAAATTGTTTTTGAATGATAGTAAAAAACAAAAAAAAACAAACTTAGTCTGTAGCCATGCAGTTTAACACAATTTATCGAGAAACTTTAGTTAGGACCCATTGAATTTCCCAGGGCCCACCCAAATAAACAACTGTGGTTTCCAGGGATTCACTACATTAAAAACCTCAGCATCACTGGAGATATGGAAAATACATAGATGATGTTCCGCACAATAAAAATCTTAATAACATAGAACCTAATACTAAATTCACATATGAATTTGAAAGACAAATCTCTACTTCTCTTTGACATCTTATTAATACATAATAACAAATTAGATTTTACAGTTTACTGCAAACCCACAAATGAAAACAACCCAATTAACTTCTATTTCTGCCAAAGTCAAAAAAATAAGATCAGGACTAGTCATAGGAATCTATTGCAGAGCCCTCAGAATATGTAGCCCAGAATACCAAGGTGAAAAAGAGAAATATATTGAAAAAAAATTTAGACTTCTTCACTACCTACATTATTCCAAACTCAATGCTAGAAAATGGGCATACAAAATACCCAAAATTAGACACACACACACACAAAAAATCCTTTATGTTGAAAATATTTTGAGGGAGTCCTGATAGAAATTTTACCAACTATAAACACACATCAAAAACACTATATTACTTCACCAACCTTTATTAAATCCATTCTTAAAGAATTTAATATATATTTTACCAAGACTGATGTTGATACAAAAATGTCCCCAAATCAACATGCAAACCTCAAAACATAGATAATGCCTACAAAACACACACACATATATATATATCATCTGAATTCCTGCATAGACAAACTAGAATTATGATACACTTACACATGAATGCTGTTGACTAGTCAAATGAACATGAAATTTGCTTAACCAATGAAAATCAAATGACACAAAAATAAAAATCCCAGTAAATTTTCCTCATATCTCATTCTCTGATGAAGCTTTAATAAAAAGCTGTTAGAATTGTAAATTTTTATCTGTCATTCTGTCAAACTCCAATCCATAAATATTTCAGATCATTGCAAAAGTTTTTACCTGATTTTCATTGTTAATATAACTACAACTCGACACTGGTGCTTGTTTCAGTGAAGATTTCTGGTTTATTCTACATTGAAACCTTGTATTGTTCAGTTGTAAGTCAGACTTTGTTGAATGTTAACATTTTGTTCCCAAATTAATGTCTTAAAAATGGAGGATGAAAAAATTGCACCTTTGCCATACTAAGCTCTATGAATTTCAGAAAGGAGTAAGTGTTGGAACTGCAACAAGAAAAAATTTAGAAGATTTATTTGGATCATGCTCCAGCTCTTTAGAAAGTCAAAAAGTGGATGGCAGATTTTGTCAGGGTGATTTTAACCTAAATGATCAACCATGATCCAGGCAACTAATGAAGATGCTCTGTTTCTCATCATGGCATGGCACCAACTGAAGATTTCGATGGAAGAGGTTAAGATTTTGAAAATTGATATCTCAACTGCCTTTCACAATTTGAAGAGATTTGTGTTTGTTTTTAAACTCTACATGTGGGTGCCACATTCTCTGATGAAACAGAACAAGCTTGAGTTTGTTTCTGTAGTGATTTCTTTGCTGTTATGTCATAAAAAGGAGCTGTTCTTGGATAGAATTGTCACAGGCGATGAAAAAATGAATTGTTAATTGATAATGTTCAATGCTAACAAAGCTGGAAACAGAACCTGTGACTAAATAACTGCAAAGTAGTATTGCAATCAACTTGCCAATCTCAATGTGGCTATTCAAGAAAAACAACTGATTTTGGAAAATTGAAAATGTGTCATATTCCACTAGAAAATTGACTATACAATAATTTGAAAACTACCTCATAACCTTCCAACAACAACAACAAAAATATAAAAAAGAAAAATAGCAACAAGCTTGTAAAATGATGGGAGACAATTGTTAAAAACAATGGAAACTATGCACTTGACTAATAAATTTTTTTTTCAGTATGTAAAATTGTTTTTAATTTTTCTAATCGGGCACAAACTTTTGTAATGACCTATATATTACACACACACACACACACACACACACACACACACACACACACACACACACAGTGATTTTTCAAAATGGATGCCTGTTTATTTGGAATGCTCCAGATAGCTGTTGTTCTTTTCACATTTTTCAAAAGGTGTGCATCAGCATTCTAATAGTGCAAAATAATTTCATTCTTTTTTGCTTATTAAAATGTTCACATTCTTGAATTTTCTATTTTTCCTCCATGCAGAAGATTGCAATTTCTGCCTGTATTCTCTTTCATTTTTAATTTTTATATATATTTTGACAGAATGATATCATTTTGGCATTGTTCATATATTGAATGATAGTAAATGGTTTGCATGTCTTTGTCAGTTGCTTCGATATAAATCCTCTCTTTGCCTGAATTCTCCTTTGTTGTCACTTTTGTCTTAAATATTTTTTCTGTGCCATTTCCTTGTAGTAGACATTTGGTTTTGTTTCTACAATTACATTTTTTGTATTGTTGGTATTCTGTATTTTATTATGCTTTTTATTAGTTGTTTAATATTATCCATCTATTTTGCTGTTTCTATTAAATGTTTGTGTGATTTATGAAAATGTTCATCTGAGTTTTAAAAAATATTTCTTATATTTGTATCAACATTGTTATTGTGTGAGAGATTAAAACATTTTCCTATTTCTGATTTTGACATAGATTCTAATTTCATTTTGTAATTCATATTCTTTTACTTCATAAAATGTTCTTCCATCTGACTGAGTGGCAGCATATCAACCCTGCTGGCCATTTAATGCTGAAAAGACCACCCCTTACCAATATATGGCTTGTAAACAGTCTTTTGGATCATTGATTTCATCACTCTCCAATTATGCTATTAGAAAGAGTTGTTTAAAGTTATAATTTGTAGTATAGACCAACCTCCTTCAAGTAGGCTCAAATAATCTATGTTTATCTTCTTGAAAAGACCCTTGAAACTACTACTTCTATGGGCTGCACCCCCTAATGACACAAGCAATCATGGCTTTTCACAACTTACTCTCCCTTTTGACCCATAGCAGTTTTTCTTCCTTTGCTAAAGCTCCTACCCCCATTCCACCATCTATCCACACAAGCTAGTCAGGTAGGTGGCTTTCTGTCTTCTATCTTTCCTACCTTCAATATTTCCCACAACAGTTGTTTTCCAACCCCTCCTTCCTCATTATGTATCCAAGGAGTTTCAGCTGTCTTTTCCTGATTCTGCATAAAAGTGTTCTTTCTGTTGCAATTTTCTTTAAAACTTTTTTGTTGCTAACTTGCTTCCATGAAATTTTCAGTATCCTTCTGTAGAACCACATTTCTGCTACCTCAAGTTTTCTCCTCATTCATGGGGAGATTTTCCAACATATGTCATATAAGGTAAGGTTATTTTTACTGACATATCAATCTTATGGATCATTTCATGCAAAATTAGGTAGGTTTTCATATCAAGTAATCTTTAATCCATTTTATTTTATTCTGTGACTGCTTTGTAGACATGTTCTTTGGATGTGAATAATTGTATTGGTAAACAAATATTTTGTAGAATTTTCTTTTTTGTGTGTGTTGTATCTACACGAGTTTAAGAAGATCTATTTCTCTCAGGAAGCCTAGTAACTATTTAATTATTGGGTGATCTTGTTCTTAGGATTGTTAGTGAAAAGCTTCTGAATTGCGATAGGTGTTGAGATGCTGATCTTTATCTTTTTAGTTCTATGCTTGGTTGTATTGGTGTTTTGAGTGGGTATTTCAGTTTTAGCTGAGGGTGATTATGTGCATTTTGGTGTTTATTCATTTGTGCTTGATATAAAATGTTTAAGTTTGCTGATTAAATTTTTAAGATCATTTGACCTTTTTTTATTGTGTTGAGTTCTTGATTCTCATTTTCGTGTTGTTTTTTAGTTGTACACGTATAAGTTATTGAGGTTTGTTTCAAGGGTAGACTTCTACAATTTTTCTAGCTTCTGGGAAAGAGATGTTTTTTTTGCACTTAATTTGTACTATTTCTTTTTCTCTTTGCCAGGCTTTGCATAACCCAAAACCCTAATGAAATTTGTTGTCTGCTACACAATACTTAACCATGAACACATTCAGTGGTCAATCCCCCATCAATAAATCAATTAACTTGTCAGATAAACAAGACCCTAAATTGAAACCTTCATGAAAACGTTTTCATTTAAAAAAATTAATTTTAAACCTTATGTATACCCAATTCATGGAGGCACATAAAAGTGAATAGGATTTAAAAATACAAGTTGTTTATACAGTAAGTCTTTTTATTTCAACTTTCTTCAAACAGGCAATTTTTTTAATGTTGAAATGAACTTCACTGTTTTATAACCTGAACTGTCAGTGACCCAGCGGGTCATAGGTACCCTAGTTTCCTATAATATGCATAGAGTGAGGTTGGGGCTTCAAATCACTCCTTTAGATATGTTTAAAGATTTGTGGGGTAAGTCTCGATTTGGGGTTTATCAAAAGTTTTCAATTTCAGTTATTCTGCTTTAGCTCTTTTAGGAACCTGCAGTATTATAGACCCACTACATTTTTTTTAACATCTGTTGGTGTTATTTTTGTGGATATTGTCACCAAATATCAATGCTCTAGATTGTTTATTGGCAGTTGTTGAGAGTGATGCCTGTTCTCCTGTGTGCCACAATATTGAAACTCTGAAGGCAAAATTGAAGAACATATGAGACAAAATTGTGTGTGCCATCATCAAAGACTTTCTCAAGAGACTTTGACGTGTGGTGAAGGCTAAAAGGAACAATACTGAATGAGATCTTCTGGTGTTATTTATTACTTTGTGTTAAAATTGAATGCTGATATAAATTTTTCAGGAGTTATGAGCTTTTTCTTTTGTAACATTATTTATGCAGCACACTATTTACAAATGATCTGAGAATATTCTTAGGCAAATCATTAATACCTTGCTTGGGAAATTTTTGCCAATCTGTCATATTATATCAAATATTGTACATTTAGATGAGCATTTATTGTGTTCATTCTGGGTTTCAGTTCCCTAAAAACTTAACAAAAACACTTAAAGCAATTCTTTGCTGAAAAAGATAAAAACTTATGGGAGAATGAAATAATGAAGATAGAATATGTTAGTAAATCAAAATGGTAAAAAACATGAATATGTTAACCATTATTATCTTGACCAATATTTCCTAACTGCACTTCATTTCTAAGCTCTTGGCAAGAGTTGAACTTTCATTGCATTTGCCTAAGGAAACTGCTTGAGCTAGAAAGGCTTTATGGATGACAAAAGCTCAAATCTAACCATTTAACTACGTTCTTCCTCAAATAATCAGCACCTATTTGTTAATATTTTTACACACAATTGTAGCAGCTTAAATTTTTATTCAAGATAAGGCACTGTCGAACTTTCATCATTGGAAATTCACAATGCATTTATTGTCCCAACTTTTATATGTAGACTAGGCAGAAAATACACACCTACTCATATTTTAATGAGAAAAAGTGAGGGAATCTATTTGGAGGAAAGAAATTGGCTTACCTGTCCCCAAAGGAGTGCACCAATTCCCAGGAGTAAACACCACAACCATTGGTCCAAACTCAATCCTTTGGTACTAAATGCAAAACCTCCCAATTCAATAATAATAATCTGAAAATAATAAAAGAAAAAAAGTTTCACTGTAAGAAAAATTAAAACTAGTCTAATTAAAAGATAATGAACAAAATACTTTAATCAAATGAAGTTAAATTTTTTCCTATATGCAATCATTTTTATTACTTTTTATTGTGACACATTGTTAGGATATTCTTTAGTTTTCAGTTTGTGTAAATTCAGAATTAGGTATCTTCAGTCTGTAAAGTTAAAGTAAAGAAACCCACAGCTATTCTTGTTGCCATTAAATTGTTGTTACTAGGTCAGAGGGCTGTGTGTTGAACAAAAACTAAAACTGTTGAGAAAATAGACAAATGAAAGAGTGAAACAAAACAAGATAGAAATATTTATTCTATCAGGAATATCTTTCGTGCAGAGAAAATTTCAAGGAATGTTCTTAAGATTCTCTGTAAATAATGAAGGAAAAGTTGAACTTACTCTGTTGATGAATTAGCAAGCAAGTGAGGTGTGCTGCCCACACCATGTGCTTCCATTGCACAGAATACTAACTTTAGCATCCTGTTATGATATCAGCCTGCAGTAAAAGAGAACTAGCTTCTTTTGAGCTACAGCATGCAGGTTCCAATTTTTTTCTTTTTTTACACATGCCCAAAGCTGAAAACGGGTTACTTCTGCTGACTGATGAAAAGATTTAAATCTACCTGTAAATCCTACTGTAATATTAACCTTTACCATGCTGGAGGTGAAAATTTTTCCCACAGAATTCTCTCCCTTTGCTGCTCTAGGTGTATTATGTCACCTAGATACAGTTGCTATAAATAAACACTTATCAACTGTTATTTCTGGTATTTAAGCTGAAAATCAACTTCTACTGCTTTGGAACAAGGTTAAACTTCCATTTTCCAATGCCATTTTGAATTCTTCTAGACTCTACATGAGTTGTGATATTGATTAAACCCATGTTAATTTTTTGTGATTTTTTTGTAAACAAAAATGGCTGCATCAACATCCAACAAAGCCTTTATTCAGGAGTTTTTCTTTGATTAGGACTCTGATAATGATTTTGATGGTTTTACTCAGGTGGATATTGATGGTGAAGTGGTCTAAGATAACCATGCTAGTGACAGAAGTAAGCGATGATGACCACTAGTGACTATGACATCATCCATGACTGACTAATTTTATGGAAGCTACTGTTGACCATCGATATACCTGAAAGCCTTTCTGAAGGTGAATTATTTTGTCTATTTATAAACAATGAAATAATAACTTTATTTGTCAATGAGAACATGTCAACAAGACAAATAAATATGAGACAGGTTAAAGAAAGAGCAAACAAATGCTGGTGTCTTTTCGTATGTAAACATGAGGAAACGCGTCACTTTTTTGACAAAATGAAAACCTTCTTAGCAATTTTGCTTCTTATTGCACCCCCAGAACTCCATAAGGAGTAATAAAAGTTAAAGTATGTTAAATTGTTTATGTATGTTTTAATTTTGGTTTTTATTCCATGTTTCAATTTTTTTTTGATTTCCACATCAAAACATGCATGCAAAACATATTGCATTACGTCAAAATATTACTCATTCATTGTTTTCTTAGTGTACAAAAAATAAAATCTGTACACACAATACAAAGAAAGATATAACAATTTTAAAACAGTAGGTGTCCATGTTTTTGCACCCTCAAAAAAAATTCAGTGGCAGGGGGAACAATTCTAGGAAGAAATTAGCATGGTAACGGTTAAGTTAGTAAGAATACAAGACTAAATTTTTCCTATATAAATTATTTGTTTACTTTTGGACTCAATCAAATTAACATTGGTTGTGGAGGTTATACAGTTTTGGGGACTTTTTTAGAATGTTTGATCTCCTCATGAACATATGAGAGAATTCCTTCCCCCAGGTCGATTGGGTGTTTGTATAGCTTCCTGTCATCCAGTTATCTTGTGTGCTTATATCCTAAGTTCAGCTGGTTTTACTTTCTGTTTATATGGGTACACCTACCAACTTTCTTTCAAACTCAATTCTTGGTAGCTATGCAATTATCATCTAAATCAACCCTTGAAGCATCTAGCTCATTTGATGTTCTGAGGTGAAACTAAGTACAAAGTTTACTTTGGTCTCTCCCAGAGTGAACCCAGTACATATTGAGGTCACCACAAATCAATTTTTCTTAGATTAAAGTTGGTTCAGGCCTTCAGTACTTCCTGACATGAATCACATTACTGCTTTTTGTCCTTTCTTTTTCCAGGTACTAAAATGTTTTGTCTCAATTTTGTCAGAAGTTACTTAATTTACAAATCATGTTGCCTACTTTAAAGATTGTAGAATGTAATAATGTAAAAATTATGATAAAAAGCAACAATAGAAAGATGCCCCCCCCACACCAAAAAAGACAAAAACAAAAAATAAAACAAAAATAAAGTCGTCCAAAATGATATTGACTATATCATGCCTACCTTCTTGGTGAGTCACATATTTGCAAATTTCCTACAGGCAAAACTGAAAGGCTGTTCAAACCCAGATAAGGAAAGAAGAAGGAAAAGGTTGATTTTCAACGTAGACAGCCTCTCCCCACTTGGTGCAACATTTTCTTACACCCTCCCTCTCTGGCTGGATTAAGATAAGTTTAGTAAATCTCCATATCCCACAAAGCATCATCTTTTTCATTTTAGTGTTGTAATGAATTAAAATTACACTTCCCTTAAAATGCAGATAAACTACTGACGACTTTGAATCAGCTGAGAAGATACTTTATGCAAAATTTCTTTGCTCTGAGTCCTATTTATTGCCAGAATAAAATGAGCAATAACTAGCATAATAATTCAAAACAATTTTTGATAATGAAAGCAATAGCTGCGAGTTGTGTGGACATTTTGCTAATATAAACTGATAGAATATAGAAAGCTCAAAGCATAAAAAGTGATATGTTGAAGCAAGAACCAAAAAAAAAAAACCCAAAAAACAAAAACCCCACTTCTATATGGTTAACAGTGCTACCAAATTTAGATGTAAACATGCTAACTCTAAGTAACCTTTCATTTGAGAATTGCAGACAAGATAATGAACAGTACCAAGATGAATAAGAGCCAAAAATATAAAAAATAAATTACCTGTGATATTAATGTTCCTATCCATATTCCACAAAACACAGGATTTCTTCTAAGGCCCGATAAAATGTTACGTTGTCCATGAATTTTACGAGAATTAATCTCATTGAATAATGTCATCATGACAAATGTGTTGAAAATGATGGTGAAATGTTGAGAAGGAGGTGGGTGTTTTTGTGTCTCATCTATTCGGCCGCTGTCAATGTCCATAAGTTCAGCACCTATAAAAAAGCAGGGTAAAGACAGGTTTAGCTGATGACACAAAAATGCAAAGTTAACAAAATTTCTCAAAGGTGTGACAAAACAATATAAAATCAGTTTTAACAAGTGTTATAAACAAGGATTGAAAGGTTAACTGATATTTTAAAAGGATTTGTGAATTTTTCAAAATTTTACTACTCTAATGAAATAATAAAAGAAATTTATAATTTATTCAAAATGGCTGTAATGAGAAAAAATAAGCAAAAAAAAAAACAACAACAAAGAAATCACTTAAAATCTAAAATATTGTAAAGAAATTTTAAATATAAAAAAAAAAAAAAAAAACGTTTTTTAATTTTGTGGTTCAGTGTTTTTAAACTGAAGAGCCATCTTTGCTAAATTCAAAATCTATTAGCATAACCGACAGTCAAGAGGATTTAATTTTCATTAGTTTTAAATTTCAGGCAATTGCTCTAAGAATATTTAAACATTTTGTTGTCAAATTAAAATACAATATTTAAGATATTATTTTGCATCTCAAAGTCATAAAAAAATCTTGGAAAAAGCTTTTCTTTTGATGTCAGGAAAAACAGAGAACCACTTGAAGAGGTAAATATTTATGATTTCAATAGTAATATTAAAAATTCCTCCATGAGAGATGAATTTTTAAATGTTACTTTGCACTTTCTTCCAATAGCAGGGAAAATTTAAGTCATTATTTAAGCTCTATGACTGAAGCCTCAAAACATGTTAGACTGTCAAAAACAGTCATTTTTTTAAAAACATCTAAAAACATAATCTATTCATTAATTGTATTTTTTGATTGTAAAAGGTCACATTTTGATAGCTCCAAAACTAAAGACTTATATAGGAAAAAAGCCAATGATTTATGAAACGATATATTCTTACAAACTCATATTGCAATTTACCTTTAATTTGCATATTATTTTTTAGCTGTAGCCTTAACTAGTACATATAATACACTTTTGCTCAGATGAGTGCTTTCATCCTGGTTCATCACATTTCAGCTGTTCAACTCTCCAGCCTTTTCCAACTGTCTGTTGGAATTGGTAAGCTTTCAAGAATTTCAAGTCATAATTTTTATTCAATTTAGAAGTAGATTGTGCTTGTTACACTATTCATGCCAGAGGACATCTTGTATCAGTTAATTCTTTTTTTTTTTAATTCTTTTTTATCAGTTTGTCCTTGTGATCCTGCTTGTCTCTTCAACCAAACCAAAGTATGACTTTTTTTTGCACTAACCCAAGGATTGGACTCATATTCATCATGTATCTTTGCCGAATCAATACTTTTATCCACTAGACCCTGTGTGTGTAGGACAATAGTCCTCTAAGAAACCAAATACATTGTCATGTAAAAACAAATCACTGCATAGAGAAAGGTATTTGCACTTTTTTCTGATAGAATGTTACACTGAAATAACATCAAGATTAATAATAATATTGCACCCACCTCCAAGAGTTGAAATGTAAAATAGAACAACTATAATGAGAAGGTGGCTTACCTGCAAAAAGCAGTACAAAAATAACAACTAATTGGTATATAGCATGACCTATAATATTTTTCATCATGGTTCTAGAAATAAGGGCTTTAGTTCTTCCATAAGGTTTTCTCCTCAGCAATTCTTCACTTGGCAATTCTGTTGCCAGAGCAAGGGAAGCCAAGGTATCCATAATAAGATTCACCCACAACATCTGGATAGCTTTCAAGGGACTGTCCTGAAAAAAAAATAAACAAAACAAAACATACAAACAGTTCAGTAAAACAATCAAAAGCAATTTAGTTTAAAGAAATAAAATCATTTTCAATAAATCTCCTAAAATACCACCTCAAGTCACTTTTTATTTAGATATTTTTATAATTATTTGTAAATGCTTGTCATTACTAGGCTTAAAGTATTACCATTAATATGACATTATACCCAATAAAGAAAGTATGGATAGATCAAAGATTCTTCTCTGCTTGTTTATTTCTCTGACCAATAAAGAGAAAATAATTAAATCAGATGTTATCAGACCTGAAATTATTTTCCTTAGATATTTTTTGTCAATTTTTACTTAAAAATCAACTAGAAACTGGTTGCTTAGCTGAACTGGAAATTACTTTATTCTCTAATTATTGCGTTTGATTTGAAATTTTTTATTTCCTTTTAAGAGAACTTTGGACACTTGCAGACAGTATTTTGAGTATAATATGAACATTAAAATATTTAATTCAGCTAAACTTTGTTAAAACCTAAGTTTCTATAAAGAATAACATTTTGAAACTACTAATTTGTTTTGTTCACTTATTTTATACTAATTAACATGTAAAATATTAACTCATTTCACTTTTGTCTTCCATCTCTCATAAGGCACACATACATAAAAACCACATACATGGCAAAATAAGTAAAATTGGAAAAGATGATCACTGGTGCTGCTAATGTATCTATTAATAGAATCCAAAATGAAAAATCTTGTCTAAATCCATGAGAGTTTTCAACATCAAACTAAATGAAATCTACTTTGGAAAAATTTGTTTGCTGGGATTCAAAGGAAATTGTTTTATTAGAAATTGTTGCTACTGTACAATACTCAAGTGAGAAACTGGCTCAACTGAAAGATTTTTTTCTTAGCAAAGAAATCAACAAGTAATTTTGGATTTGCTTCATGCAATGCTGTTTTGCCTGGTCAGCAATTCCCAAAAGTTGAAAATACAGAAAAACTGAATAATTCACTGAATCAAGATATGGATTGTTCTTTTATGACAGAATAACAAATTATTTTGCAAGGTGGGTCAAGGTCACAGAAAGCCAAGACAAATATTTGCAAAATCTTATGCATCATTCTCTCATATAATGGACTCTCCCATTGGTTTCGACGTATGAGGATCTGACAGATTAGTTGATTGTCATGAAATTTTGTGTGATAATCTTAAGTGACACTTAAGACCCGCTAGTGATTTATGAAGGATACATATGGAGCAAGAGTGAGGATTGTGAGATGAGATCACTGTTAGATTGGCTGACCTTTTAAATCTTGCTCTCACTTCTTGAAGATGATTTAGACAAGCAGATTGAAAACTGCTGAGTCCACTAAAACATGTTGATCTCCATTTTACCAGCTCCAAGGCTAAGTGCTCAAGGTATATTGACAGCTGACAAGTTGCTTTTTAGCTTGTCTTTGTATCTTAGTCATGGATGCCCTACATTCCTGTATCCCTGATCTAACTGGCTGTACATTAGGATCTTGACTCTCTCTTATATATATATATATATATATATATATATATATGTGTGTATGTATGTGTGTATATATATATATATATATATAAATAAATGATTGGATACTTCTTTCCAAGTACACCCATCTATTTTGGATGGCTAGTTAATCCCTGTTGCAGAACTCTGCTCAAGCCCATTTGTGTTTCTTCAAAACCCATAGTCAATGTGTTGTTTATACTGCAACTATAGTAGGTGAATTTAATTACAGTTTCTGTGAGAGAGCAGATAAACTGGCATAATCAACAGTTTTGAACAAGGTTTTGAACCTTGTTTATGATGACTTGTGACTTTGTGTTAGCACAACAATTGATGGCTTCTAAACATTTTCATCTACCCAATTTCACTTATAATGCTTGGGTCAACAGATGGTATGGTTTTCAGCTATTTCTCAATGGCATGAATGCCAGGATCATCATTTCAGGCTGATATCATCAATGAATCACTTCCCTGGTAAATTGACAATGGTGCTTTTAATTATATGCCTATTTTTATTAAATATTTTCAAAGTAATTGTTGCATAGAGTTTTATTTATGATCATTGTTTTTATATATAGCTAAAATCCTTGATAGTAACAAGAAAATCTACCCTGTTATAACAGTCACAAAAAGTTCATAGGTTAGAAATAGCTAAAATTGATACCCTTGTTGTAGCCACTGATCTTGCAAAGTTGGTGATACAAGGTGTAATAATTTTACAATAGACTTGTTCTTGCTCTAAAATGTAACAGGATGACCAGATATTTTTTTCAGTTCATTTTGTTTTAAATCAAGCTGTAAAGAATTAATATTAAAAAAATGCCTGTATGTTGGATAATCCATTAAGTGGTGAAAGCAAGGATTAGGAGATGGAATTAAGCAATTGTATCATGAACAGAAACCCTTTTTTGTTGTTTCTTCTACAAACAACCAAACCTTTAACAAAATTAATCATTGACTTAATTAGTAAAAGTCCTCACATTAACATGAACAAGACTTACATTTATAGCACAGGCACCAAAGAAAGCAACTAATACAGCTACAACGTTGACTGTAAGCTGAAATTGTAGGAACTTGGCAATACTGTCATAGACATTCCTGCCCCACATCACAGCCTTTACAATACTAGTGAAATTATCATCAGTCAGGATGATGTCAGAAGCCTCTTTTGCCACATCTGTTCCAGATATACCCTGAAAAGAAACAAATAACAAATTAAAAAAAAAGTAAAAAAATTTTTTTTTTTTTTAATTAATACAAGACAATGTAAAAAGCTAAGTTTTCTTTGGTAACCTCTGGGGATGGGGTGTGTGCTTATTAAAATTTAAAAAATTAAGATACCTCCACACTCCCTGTTATTAGAATTCAATATTCAATACTGGCAAGCAATTCAGGTCATGAAAAATGAAATGTTTGATTGTGTATTAGTGTTACTGCATTAAAATAAATCTGGAGAAAAATCTAAATACCCCACCCCCCATTCAGTTTATTTGAGAGGTAAGAGTAACCTCTTAAAACGATTACTCTTAGTTTGTTGCAAATTACTTTAATGAATTTCTTTAGTACTGGAAAAATTCCATTTGTTCTACTTAAACACACACACACACACACACACACAGAGAAAATATTTTTTCCTGTTGCATGTAAAGGAACAAAGAAAATCCTATTTTTCATGATGTAAAAACAAATACTGTTTGTAATGTGAAAAGTTCTAATACCAAGCACCCTTATTTTGCAGGGGTTTAAAAATTTGTCATTTCCCAACCTTATTTTACCCACACGCGCACACACACAAAAGGTATGGTTAGCATTTATGGTTAAACTCAAACTGTGTAGACAAGTGAAAAATTCATATACAATTTAGGTAGCGTAATAAATATTTATTCAGTTCATGAAGTGAAAAAACATTTTTTCAATAAACTTTATCAATTTGTTCTAGTATCTGATTTTTAATTTTATAAGAAACTTATAATAAACTGTACTCAAATCAAATCACTCCAATCTTAACTCCATGATTGATGTTAGTGTGGCTTAAGCAGCTAAGAAACAAAAGTTACTAAATATGATATTTTATACTGTATTAAAAAAAATACCCATTCTATTAGTTTGAAATGCCTTTCTATTTATTAGACCGAAGCATAAAAAAAATTTAAGCAACTATTTGAATAATGCGAGTATTAATTATTGCACAAAAATTAAGCAACCTGAGTACTGATCAAAATCCTAAGCTGCTTAAGAAGAAAGGAGGGGAGTATCTTATCTTTCAGGCAACTTCATCATTCCAGCCTCTTAAGAATCCATAGAAGAAGTGCTTTATGTGATTTTTAGTCTTCTGGAAAAGTCATTCATATTAAAGTATAGCAAGAAAGATGTGGTTATACAAAGTGTTAAGTGTTTTAGGAAGTCACTTTATCTGCCCAAATTGTTTGCTTGTCACTTTGCTTGCTACTCTGAAAGTGAAGCTTGCAAATGAAATGGTCAGTGTCATAGCAGACAGAAAAAACAACTGTCATGACCACAGAATTTTTAATGTGATTGCAAGCATTTCTTATTGATGCTGTAACCACAACAGAATGCAACCATCAAACTACATCATGGTTTAATGCAGCAAGATATCACTAATTATATGTGCAATTTTATGTTGGATTCTTTAAACAAGGAAAGACCCATGGTCTAGTAGATGGGAATCTGAAGTTAGATGATGGTTGACTACATTATGTATCCTACTACATGTTTGTGCCTCAATCTGCATTATAGAAACTGTACCTGTTTAATGACCACTCTGACAAGCTTAAAGGAGAATGTCACCACTTGCACGTGTTATGTATAACATGATAGACTGGAAGGTCAAAAGGCAATTGGCCTAGAAACTGACAGTCTTTTGTCTGAACAAGAAAGCATAAAAGAAGGATAGGATCATCTTAAATTTCCAAGATTATTTCTGGCCATTACTTTTAAGACTGAATAAACACCTAAGTCCCCATCCTATGTATGACTTTTACAAGTCAGCTTGTCTGTTTGATCTGAAACAGCTATTCTGTATAAGCAATGATATTGACAGTTATACAGTTATTAAAGACTTGCAAGATCCTTCTATTGATCTTTTTGAAGAGTTCCAAACTTATGTGAGTTACCTAGATGCTTTACTAAATCCTTTTAGTATAACAGTAATTTAGAATGTAAATAAACAGATTTCATCTTCAAAAACAGATTGTTGTCAAGGTCATATGGATGCCTGTCAGCAATGTAAATGCTGTATGTTCATTTTCTCAGCACAAATATTTATTTAATGAACAAAAAGAGAACACCAAGCAGCTTTGAATGGAGCTTTCAAGAAGAGATTTGAAGTTTGTTAATTTCCCAATTTTGGAAATATTAACTCTTTTGAGAAATTTTAACTATATTGATATTTATAATTTAAATGAATTGTATTTAATTTGTTTGGCTTTTTTGTTACAATGATTCAGATATCTTTTTACTTTATTTTTGTAAAATTTTAGTCAGAATTTTTTTTACTTGGAGATTGAATGTATTTGCTGTTGATTCTAAAAAATGTGATTTTTCTTGTTTTTCAATATTGTGAATAAATTATTAGAAAGCAATTGAATCCAAGACCTTTTATTTATTTTAGATGATATTTTTCAGTTTGAATATTTGTTCTTTAAAAAGAATCTCCAACTAAAATTCTACCTCAAATAAAATTATGCACTGCAATATTCCATCATTTAGCAAAGTTAGATTTTCTTTTTTTGCTAAATTTAAATGAAGTAGAGATTTTGATAAAGTCATACTATATTTTCTGGCTTGGTTTTTCAAATTTACTTACATAATTTTTAACTTCTGACATGGATATAAACAAGTAATAAAATTAAAAATTATAATGTATAAAAATTTATATACTTTAGTTATTTTAAACCACAATAAATAAATATGTTAAAAGAAAACTCTGAAAGGAATAGGTAACAATAGATTGAAAACATGATTTTGAAAATATGTGGTAATACAAAAATATAAAATTGGTGATTATTCTATTAACACAATAATGACAAAACCTTAACTTTTACTAATGTGAAGAGTAAGTCTGCTTCCAGTGCGGGTACTAGGGTCCCCCTGCACCAGACTTTGATATGGGGACACCTCTCTACTACATGTCAATTTCAAAGTTTCCCAACCTGGGGGCTACAAAACCTTGAATGAAAAAAGTGGGGGTGGAGAGCAGTGTTTTTTTTAATTATCAAAAATCACAGAATAATCCAATATAAATGAAAATTTCAGTACATGTTCATTAATTATATATTTTTATAATGAATAGATTTTTTATTTAAAAATATCTGAAAAAATGTTATTTTTTTTGTAATAACCACCAATATTTTCATGACTAAATTATACTGGAAAAAAATGTTTAAGTTACAAATTTTTACATTTCCATAAAGATTAATCATTGACATCTTATGTGTTGAAATCTTTAAACATTTTTATTTTTTAAGTGATTGTTTTCTTGGTTTTACCTTTCTAGAAATGTAAAAAATAGGGACAAGAAATTTTATTTTAATTAAAAGCCATGGACTTCTGGTTAGTATTACTATTAGTAAAAAAACAAACGAAAAAACAGATACTCCTTAGTGAATTATTGTGGAATAAAAAATGAATTTACCCTCTTGATTTAAAAAAATAAGCATTACTAAAATTAGCAATTCTCTGCATTTTGCCTTCAAAATATAGTTGAGCAGAAAGGAAAAAAACTAAAAATATTTGTCACAGGCTAAATACAAGTACCTCTTGGTTTATACCGTATTAAATCCTATCAAGAAAAATTTCTAAGAGATCAACTTAGTCAAGCCTTTTTTAAGCTTTTGTTTCTTAAATATAATTTTACGGCAGAATTTTGTTGTAATTCTAGATACATTACATGGATTTCTTTAAAGTTACAAGAAAGAAATTCTTACCATAGCAAATCCAACATCAGCTTTTTTCAGAGCTGGTCCATCATTTGTTCCATCCCCTGTGACAGCAACTACCTCTCTGTTCTCAGAAACTCTACTGTCAATGATACCTTTGACTAAGGTATATTTATCTTGAGGGGATGAACGAGCTAACACTCTGAGATTTGGCCAGACTTCATCAAAAAGTTCCTGTTTAACCTGAAATGTAATAACATTACCAAATTAAGTGATAAAAAACATTATCAAGCATTATAATGAAGTGATTTAAATATAAGTGTAGATAAAAAAAACAGTGAGAGTGAAAATAACTGCATTGTCTATCCAATGTTTGCAATAAAGTTTATATTCTTCAATAAGTCTTTAATATTAAAATGATATAAAAAATACAAAAATATATACACTAAAAAATAAAAAAAGATATACACTAAAGTTTAATTAAAATCAATTTATGGTTTCAGTTTTGCTTAAATGTGTTCCTTTTTTAAACAGTGCAACATAAAATCTTTAATAAGAGAATAGTAAATTGTAGTTCAATGTCTTCCATCTAATCTTTTCAACTCCTCAAATTAATATAAGAATAATTTATCATGGTATGTACTAAAATACTAGCATAGCAACTATAAAAAATAACTGGATTATTTTTGTAAAAAAATTCTTCTAATGATCAGACTACCTATTCTTTCTACTTTGATAAAAGTGTTGATCTTTGATCCTCTGCTGACAATTAGTATAGTATTTAACCACTGAAAAGTAACACATCTATGTTTTGTAAAATTTAAGGACTTTGAATTCAGAAAGCTACAATAATAAAATGATTTCTTAGTACTGATAGCAGATGCATGGGTAATTTAATGAATATTGATGTGGAAATTGAAATTGATGAGTCAAATTCAAATTTTGAGTTAGTCTGTTGTATTGACTTTTGCAGTATTGACTTTGGGAAAGGTGTGAATCTGTCTCTTCATCCCTAAGACAGTGGTTAAATAGCAAGGTAAACTGGGTTCTCTAGCTTTAGGCAGCAACCAGTTGAAGGGAAGGAAAATTGAATTCAAAATCATGGAGATGGTAACAGGGAACTACTACATTATCTTTCCCAAAAAGGGACATAGCAGGTCATGTACTGATAGCGAGCTGGTAAGTATTGTGTCTGTCAGAGTTAACTTCTGCTGCTGATACAGGTTCCTGAAAAGTTCTAGAATTTTTGTGAAAAAATTGTTAATTTTATTTTTTTAAAATCATTTCATTCCAAGCAAGGTGATAATGCCACTAGAATGCAAGGGGTTACTGTGAGTGGAAGAGAATAAGATGACTTTATTGAGGAGAAAGGAAAATAAAAAATGAGGGAGGTGGGGCAGGGTTGGTTTTGGTTTCAAGAGATCTCTGGCAGCAAAACAGCTTTCTCCAAAATTCCTCAATTTGTTTGAAGTTTCATTAGTACATGAAAGTTGTGAATGGTGACATTCCAAATCAATGTATTTTTTTTAACACAAAAAAGATGCTAAAATTTCCTATACTAATATTTACTTCAAGCTTTAATCATTAGAATTCTTAAGATTAGTTGTGGTTCATCAAGCTGATTAGTTGATGAAGCTCATATTTTTTTGCACCTGTTTTTTTTGGCAACACTATGAAAATTGATCTACTGAGGTCTTCTGATATTTTGCCTCTCATATTTAATTCATTACTTTTGCAATGTTATCAGTCCCAAAATTGTCTAAGACATTTAACATATTTAATGTTACAACCTTCTTTGGTCTTGCTGCTTTGTTCCTCTTCCTCTTAACCAGTGATGACCTCACTTCAAATTTTAGTGTAACTGATATTTAAATGCTTCTATGTATTGTAGAGATTTTGTGTTATGGTACAGCTGTTTGATGTATTTAATTCATCTCTGTAATAATGGTTCTCTTTCCTTCATGTTTGTCCCTTCTTTAGATTTCATACATTCTGTCAAAGACCACATTTTCTGTTATGCTATTTTTCATCTTTTCTGCATATCTGTTACATTTGTGTTCTATAGTTTTTCAATCTTTAAACACCTCATTAAGCTATTCCTATTGCTTGCTTGAACTTAGTTTTGATGTTTTTGCTTAGCCTCATATATTGTGTCATTTCTTGGCATTACTTTTTCTGCTGTCACTTGTGCTTCCTTTGTGTTGTTTAACAAAGTTCCAGACCTGTTTGTAAGTTTAATATTTTATTAATTGCGACTGCATATACTTGTTTATAAAATAAATTGTTAGAATGCAGCTGAGGTATTGCTTTGGACTTCTTTAGTTTTAATTTCTGTTAGAGAAAGAGAGAATCACCTATATAAACTATAATCCCACCTAAAAACTGGCACGTCCCAATCTACGGTGTTTTCAATGTCATAAAGTAGGTCAAATTGCCTCTAAGTGTTGGGGAAATGAAATGGGGGACGCAACATCAGCACCGGTTTCTTCCCTGCACTGAGCATGAAAGAGGCGCTCCCTGTGAATAAAGTTCGCTTCAATGGAATAATGTGTACCACTTTAACAGATTTGGGCTGCTCTTGGTCACTCACAAATGGATCAATTAGTTGGCAGTGGAGCAGACAAAAGATGGACATACTAACAGCCGATGGAAAGGCTCTCAGGAACCAAGGAGTCAGAAACATCAAACTCAGTATCAACAACAGTGATCCTGTCACAGTGTGTTGGTCATGGACAGTGCTTCATTAGGTTTTGACCTGCTCCTTGGGATGGACATTATTAAGGAGCTGGGCAGAGTACGCATCACAGAGTCAGGCGAAGTCAAGTTTTTTAGTCCGCCTATTGGTGCTGCTTTGAGGATCAACGGGCTTGACTTTAGTGCAGAGTTCGACCAAAGGATGAAGACAATGGACAGCACTGTGGAAATGGTCAGAAAATAACCCACCAGAGAAGTTCCAGAACTGAAGTGTCAGAGTACTCAATGCCCGAACGCATCAAGGAAGAATACCAGCATGAATTGCAGGTGTAGCTGGACAATGGATGGCTGACTCTGTATCCTGAGGATGAGCTTGGTCCTCCAAGAGGCCTCATCTCGTTGATGGCCATGGTACAAGGGAAAGGTGTGTCCCCTACTAGATTATAGAGAACTAAACAAACATGTAGACGAATACATGGCTAATGCTGATGTGTGTGCACAAAAGTTGAGAGAATGGCGATGGAAGGGGTCCAATATCTCTGTGATTGACCTTCGAAAGGCCTACTTGCAGGTACGCATGCAACGGTTACTGTGGCCATTTCAGACGGTGATCCTTAACGGGAGGAGATACTGCCTAACATGAATGGGATTGGCCGTCATGAAAGCCATCGACAATTCATCAAGCGACGTCAGCTTACATTGATGACATCTATACCAATGAAACCTTAGTGCCTGCTGTGCAGGTGAGACAGCATCTTGCTGACTTTGGGCTTGAGTATAAGAACCCAGAACGACTGCAGGTCTGGGGGAGCATAATAGGAAATGTAGAAGCAAGCTCCAAGACATTCCCAGACACATGACACAACGCAACATGTTCTCGTTATGTGGGAAACTGGTGAGACATTTTCCTGTGGGTGATTGGATCCGCATTGCGACTGCCTTTATCAAATGTATGGTGACTGCTGTCACTTCTGGCTGGGATAACAAAACAAATAATGCTCCCCTTAGAGACATGATAATGGAACTTATTACAAGGATACATCAAGACAACCCTGTACGCGGTAAATGGTGCTTGACGCTATTAAGAAAGAGGTAGAGTCGGTGGGACATGTCTGTGCAACATCAACAAGTAACCGTAATTCAGATCTACTAAAATCTGTGCATTGTCAAAGCGGACATTCCTGGTGTAAAACGGACCCTATATTTCATGAGGCAGACTGATCCCTCCGTATCCAAAGCTGCCACCAGGGCAGTAGTCAGAGAATGTAAGGAGTGTCAGTCCATTGACCCAGCACCTGTGCAATAGCCAAAAGGACAACTGAATGTGAGCAAAGTGTGGCACCATGTTGGAATGGACGTCACTCACTATCTAACCCTGATTGACTGTGGCCCAACCCAGTTCCCTATTTGGTGACATCTGCGTCAATAGGATTCCACAAGCGTGATTGGCCCCTTGAGGGCATTGTTCTTTGAACGTGGACCTCCGACATAACTCCTTACTGACAACGACACTGAATTCTAATTTTTTGGATTTGTGGGGAGTCCACCTAGGTTTAGCTGTGCATGTCCCATCAAGAAATGGCATAATCGAACAATGCCATCAGAGCATCAAGAGAATTGCTGCTTGAAAGCAGTAGGAGCAGGGTATTGGCACAACGTTACCTCTAAAGACAATGTGTCACCCTCAACTGCGCCAACTAACATGATTTACCGGTACAAAGTCTGGATAAGAGGCACTGACGCAATTTTTTCAACTGAACAGATAAAAGAATGATTGCCCTTACAACCTGGGCAATCACGCATAGGTAAAAGCCCCACATAGCTGGTGTAAAACTCGGTACCGGGTGGAGCATATCCCTGGAATTAGTAACTTGCACTGGTTGATAGAATGCCAAGACAAGTAAAAGACTTGTGTCCCTGGGTATGTTCAGAACTTCAGCAAGTGACACTAGCAGTGAGTGCTCAAGAATAATCACCATTGGAGGTAGGGCTATAGCACCTCTTCAGATGGTGAAGACTGTGCATGAGGTTGCCAGAACAGAAGACACCTCAGAAGACAATTCTGAACATACCACAGAATCCTCTCCAACAATTGCCCCACTCTGAAGAAGCTCAAGAACAAACAGGCCCACCCCTGGGTGTCACTTATGCGATGGGTGGGGGGAGTGAAAGAGAGAACCACCTCCTTCGAAAAAGAGTTTGTGCTTTGTGTGCAATCTGCTAAAGAAAGATTATCGAAAGTAGTTAGTAAAAATGTGCTACTTTAAGTATCAGTATCTATGCTAATGTTCTTTCCTCCCCTGAATGGCATGGCCAATCAGAAAAATTGTTTGGCGAATAAAAGCTGTTGTTTTTTGCTTATGAGAGTAGGATTTTTTCTGAGCTTGGTGGACAAACATGCATTTCTGCTGGTGAGAAGTGAAGGTTGGATTTGTGACCCCATTTTGTCGTTTCTATGTTGCCGGTTGGACTGTTACGATGGGCTATCGTTTGAACTGTGATTTGGCGACAAGTGTTGTGGATGAGAGACAGAAGAAACCTATTGCAGGTGTTTATTGCTACTATGTTTACAGTTTTTTTGTTTTCTTCTCTACAACATTTGCATATAATTTGCATAATCACTCACAAAGTCAGTGCAAAATCATACTTTTAAATTATTTGTTGATGTGTAACCAGTCTATCTGGTCTTGAATGTCTCCTGCCATGAGCCTACCACTTAAACTATAATCCCACCTAAAAAACAGGATGGTTTCCATCAGTAGAATCCCTGTGATTGCTTTAACTGTTTGGTCTACAGAAGGTAGTATGGCATTTGTTAAGTAAAAAGTTGATGTGGGGAGACAGATAAGAAAGCAAATGACTGGAGAGTGAGCAAGTGAAGAATGGGATATCAGTAAAGCTAGAGGTAAATAGAACTTATTTTTAAAAATTAAGAATTTACGTTACTGGTATCAAGTGTAATATATGGCACAATGTCTCCTTTTGTATACTGCATTTAACTTGAGAACAGCAGTGCCTTTCCTCACTTTTTCTATAGTAGGGACATCAAGAAGCATTCTTTTTACAAACCTCTCCAGTGGCTGGGTCTCTAATCCTTCGGTTAAACTCTCTTCCTTCTAGAACCAAAAAGTCATCACCAGGGCGCAGGATGCCACACTTGGCTGCAATTGATCGTGCAGTGTTAACATTGTCACCTGTAACCATTCGAACAGTGATTCCAGCAAGCTGACATTTTTTTATAGCAGCAGGGACCTGTCAATGAGAAAATACAATTCAAAATATGGAAACCAATCTCTTTGTTTCTGTTACAAGATGAAATAGATATTAAACAAATTATAATCAAATTTCTGTTTACAGTCAATGGTTGGTTAAATTATTACACTGATATTTTTTCAAGGTATTCCAGTAACTTTGGGAAATTCTTGTCATTAACATTAAAAAAATTCAAAAATAAAAAGAATAGACCAAAATGCCTACCTCATTTCGCACAGGATCTTCAATACCTACAACTGCAATACATGTAAGTCCACGAATTATTTCATCTTCTCTATCCCACAATGGTTCTTCATCAAATTGGATTTCATTTTCTTTAGGAGTTCCTGAAAATGTGAAGAAAAAAATAAAGAGTATTAAGTCAGTTGATGCAATAAAAATATAACTCATTTCTTTAGAGGCTCTTTTACCAAGCAAAAAGTTTCAAAAACTGAGAATTAGGTCAAGCCAAAATTTTTCTGTATAATATAGACACTTTATAAACAAATGTAGAATCAAACAACATTGAAATTCAAGCCTAGAGTACAATCTTTCTGGTTATGATATTTTTTGCATGCATTTATATAGAATATGCAAAAATGAATGAATCCAATGTCAGCATCTCTTTCATGCTACCTAAAGTGTAATTTATAAATTGGAGATACAACATTTTTGGCTTTCTCCTAGCAAAAAACTTTTATATACTGCAAATGTATAGTTTGTGCTTAACAATTGGGTACTGGGTTAATGTACACCGTCTTATTTTGGGGACAGTGGCTGTTAATGAGTTATAGGTAGAATCCTATAATTAACATCAAATTTTACAGTAGGTACTAATAGGCTAATGGCATGGAGAAAAAACTGTAAGAAAAGAGAAAGAAATGTACATTTGATAACAGTCATAAGAAATAAGGTTCCAATTTATGAAAATTCTTACAGCATTTTGAAATCAAATCAATTATACCTTTGACAAAGTCCTTATATGCGAGGCACAGAGTTCTTAATCCAAAATTTGCCATTGGTTCAATCACATTTGCAACCATATTTTCTTGGTCTTCAACTGTAAATGGCTTCGGCTTACCATCATTACCAAGAATGAACTCACACCTGAAAGAAAATTAAACATTTTTTTTTATGCCTTAGGATTGTAGTGCTACAAACAGAAAAACTTATCTATAACTCAAAATACACAGTTTTGATCTTAGCCACCTTGATTCTCTTTAGGAAAGATAATTTCTTATACTACTGAAGCATTCAAAATTATATAATCAAATTATCTGCAACATTTTCAAAGTTCCTTTTATCAACAGTTATACTTTTTAACTTAATTTTCTAAAATTAATTTTAAAAAAAGGTAAATATTACAATAGAAAAAACAAAAACAAAAAATTTGCATTTTCCTTTTTTTTTGCAGGGGTGAGTATATTTTATTGTTGGCAATGTTTGGGAAAAAGTATTTTATTTGCTAAATTTAGCCAAGTTCAGCAGAAGTTCAAAGATCTAATGCCATTGTTCTTTAAATGCTTTTTGTTCATATAAAAGCAACATATTTTATTTGTTTTACTGGAACCAATAATCACAGAAACTTCATATTAAAAAAAAAAAAAAAAAAAAAGAAGGTATCCTTATTTTATTTGAATGTGCATGTAGAAAGTGAATTAACAACAATGGTCTAATGCTAGACTGGTTTGCTAATCATTACTTTGTGCTCTATGGCAGTAGGAATCCTAGACAAAAGATTATATGCTTGCATTCCTCATAGAACAAATGGTTCAAATAAAAGTATTTTTTAAGACTTGCCTAAAAAAATTATTTTAATATTGAAAATACAGTGGAAAACAGAAGAAATGTGCTACCAAGCCAAAAAAAATCAATTTACTTGATTTTTACAAAGAAGTCTTAAATGTTCAAAAATTTACTTATAGAGTAGTATCTGTGGTCAATCAGGACCGTAATGCAAGTTTTCACATGCATATGAACCAAGTTCATGAAAATACAGATCTGTACACATCATAATACTGAAAGTAATGCATGCAAAAGAAAAAAATGTAAAATAAATGATTTTATTGATGGAAGAAAAAATAAAATAAATTTATTTATATATTAAAATCATAATCAGTATTTCACATGGCTCCCATTAACAGGAACAACAGCCTCAACTCAACACAGGATGGAAGAATACAAGTTATAACTTTTTTTTTTTTTTAAAGAATCAAGACTGTTTTGCCATTCCTCTTGACAGTAAACCCAAAGTTCTTTAGCTTTGTTACACATCAGTTTTCAACTCTCTGCATAGGTTTGATTATATTAAGGTCATGTTTTTGGGCAAGACCACCTTGTAACACTGCAATGTTTGTGTCAGTAAGAAAATTCTTTGTTATGCATGATGTAGGGCAAAGTGATCCATCATGTCTTAATGTTCCACCTTCTGCTACATCTGGTAATAGAGCAGACTTTAGCAAAGTTTTTTTTTCCACTGTTCAGTGTTCTCTCAATTTTATCACCTTTTTTGTACCATTGCTTTTAGTGTAGCCCCAAACCATGAAAACTCAACCACCAAATTTTATTTTGTATATTTGGGATTGTTTCATGTACCAATTGGTTGTTGAATATACTCTCTTGCATAAGAATTCAGTTTTATTTTGTTTTGTCACTATATATCACTTTTGCTCATTTTTCATTACCCCAATAGAAGATGTTCTTTCACCCAGTGTTTTTGTCTTACTAAGTTTTTCTTTTTTAGCTAATGATGGTTTTTGCTGCAATGCATCCATGACTTTTACGCAATATCCTTCTTACTGTATGAATTGACACTTCAAGTAGTAATGCTGTTTTCATTCATTACTTGACTAGATGTTAATTTTCAGTTGGATACAGAAAACCTTACTAGCTTCCTTTGTGTAATCTTGAAGATTTACTGGTTATTTTCATACCCAAAATGCTCCCAATATTAGCATGCTTCTTCTGGGTAACTTGGACAGCCTGCCTTAACATTGAATTTCCTTAATTATTTCACATTGACTTATTCATTGTTCTGCCTCAAATCCACTCTTCCCATTTTGAAACTTAAATCAACTCTGCCAGAAAGGCAGATTGGAGTCTTCAGACTTTATGCACCTTGAATTTCATCATTCAACATGGGAGATACAGGCATAACTTAAGCTGAGAGGTGTCAAGTGACTTATAACTTTTCCATGTCTTGCTTTCAATGTCACAATTCATTCAAGTTTGTATCACTCCTCGTACTGATGTTGGAGTGAATGAAAGTATTTTTTCATTGCTCAAAGAAAGCAATGTATTTTAAAAGGGAAGTCTTGGTTATTTTAATCATCCATTTATTCTTATATTTTTCTTTGTTTATTATAATTTTTATTATATTATTATACCTTTTATAATCTTTAATTATTAAAATAATCTTTGTTTATTTTTTTTTAAGTTGAGGTATACATCAATGGTTTTATTTTTTAAAAAAAGGTTTTTTTTTAGCAAGTTTATTTTATTAAGAATGTCTATTATTAATAAAAATGATCATGTTACATACATTTAATATATTGTATTTGTTAAATTACTTATACAATGTCATGAATAATTCTACCTATTCTATTTATTTAAGCATGACATTTCTCTTTATACGAAAGAGGATGGAATTTTTGAAATTGTAGGAAATGCAACTGTTCACTCCGACATCCAGTGTAAAATATGTATGTGTGTATGTTTCTATGTGCATATACATATATTTTGAAAAACCAAATAGAGATATGGAAAGTTGCGTGTCATTCTCTGATGGTAACTCGTTGTCGTGGTGGAGGGGTTTGCATGCTCCAATAACTCTGAGAGTGATGACATTGGGCATTCTAAACACCTGGTAGGGCTACCATTGGTGGCAAGATCAAAAACGCGGACGCAGACTAAGCATGACCAACCCTAAGAAGCCAATGGTGAAACAAGTGGATGATGATTATAACAGATTTCAATGGTTGAACCAAACAGATGAAGAGGGCTACACATGATGGACATGCTACAGAAAGCACCACTCAAAATTATAACCAAGTTAACAGCAGCACATTGCAGTTTCATAATTGGATTCTGCAAGTCCCATTCCATATGTGTTGTAGAGGAAGGTTATGAAATCAAGTGTGTGGGTCATTCCCTGGCAAGTTGAGGTCTACCTTAAACAAATTCATGCCATTGACACTTTCTTCTGATTTCCTTTCACCTCCAACCAACTCTTGCAATGCTTTCACCAGCAAAGGTTTCGTTCAACTACAAATTATACGACCAACACCAAAGTCCTGAGAAGAGCCAACCATCAAAGCACCAAATCACTGATCATTAAACATTGTCCTCAATGGTCAGGACATGTAGCAAGAATGAAAGAGTCAAGGTTTCTACGTCAAGTATTATTCAGTTACCTCACTTTTGGAAAGAGATCCCAAGATTGCCCTCTTCAAAGATACAAGAACCAACGCAAAATAACACTGAAAGCCACTGGACATGAGCTTAAAGTGTTTGAACCAGAAGCACAAGACCATCCCAACTGGTAATGTTCCATTACCATTGAAACCAAAAACTTCAAAGCCATCAGAAGAGAAAAGGAAGAAGTAAAACGAGAAGAAAGAAAGGCTTGACAAAATCAACAGAAGTTAAAATTTTAAATATGAGATAAACAACAATTACGTTCATGTGAATACAATAACTTGCATTACAGTTTTGAATGACTACTAATATTATTACTGAAAGTACACTGTTGAACATTTATAGCATTTTATCTGATTTTTATTTCATTTCTCTTGCTTGCCACTATATAATATTTTCTAAACAAGAAATATATAATGAACAAGGCAGTCCTTTTGGCCACATTTAAAAGTTGTAATCTGAAAAGGACTTTTTGCAGACTGACATTTATGCAAATCATATGCCAAATGCCACTCAGCTTCATTTTGACTGAAATGTATAAAATTAGAAAATATATGTAATTAAAAATGTCTTTGAGAGAAAGTTGTATTTATATAAAACAAGGGTATTCCACTAGGATGTGATGGTTAGGCAAGCAGATTATTAATTCATTAGTGAGTTCCATTAGGTGTTCTATACTCAAGGCCTTGCACCAGACTAAGCTTAGTAAATATTTATGTGCACATAGAGTTAAAAAAAAAAATTATGCATAATTATCTGTTTATATATATAAAGAGACAGTAATAATAGTAAAGTCAATGATGGTTCTAATACAAACAAGAACATTTTAATGCTGCTTTCAATCTTGTCAAATGTAGAAAGGATATTGTGACCAGCTTCATTATAGGTGAATGTAATCAGAAATTAGTCAGTTTAAAGAGGACAAATAACCATTCAAATAATTTAAAAAAAAAAAAAAAAAAAAAAAAAAAAAAAGTAAGGTAGCTAGCTGCTAATAATATAGATAATTACTTTTTCAGAACAATTTCTGAGGCTCCTTTAGTGAACATCCGGAAACTGTCTTCTAGTTTTAAGACAGTTGTCATAGATTTCCGTACAGAATTGAAAGTATAAACTCTGTGGAACTTGTCGACTGGTGTTTCTTCTCTGAGGCTTTCATAATCTTGACCCAAATCCAACACAAATCCCAGCAGTGAACATTCTGTCTTATTTCCAAGCTGGGTTGGTAAAGTTGATGAATCTTTACTTGGCTGTTTAAAAGAGAGAAAGAGAGAGATAGTAATTCTTCAAATAAATACATTATATGTAAGTTTCATTAAAGATGATTGACAAGGTACTGCAATTAAGCTTTTTATTTAATTTTTCTTGTGTTTGTATAAGTGTTTTCTTTTCTGGACATAAAGTGTATAAAAATTCTTCAAATGTTCTGCATCTCCAAATGCTTTCAGTTATTCTTTTAGCCATTATGGACAATGATTTTTATTTTTAACAGATTGTATGGATTTTTTTATGTATGTATCTAGAGTTATAGAAATATTTTATTTTCCAAACATGGTCAGCACATTGTGGCTGTGTTTATAGTTAATGTTATTGAGTGTTGGCTTTTTCTTTTTTATTATTAATGCTTCCATTATTTTATAATTTTTTTTTCCATGCAGATGAGGCTATTATCCTTGTATTTTCTACAAGTATATTGCGGATGGAGTTTGGTAGGTTTCCATGTGTATTTAAATGAATCCTAATTGAGCTATGTGCTGACTGTGTTTGGGAAATACATTTACTTTGTAATGCACTAAACATATTACACCATGTGTGTAACTTCCCTCACTTTGGAAGTCTGCTCAAATTTACAAGCATCTAACACGTGATAGGCAACTAATTATCAGGCAAAGTCATCTTTTGTTTTTTATAGTTCACTAATATAATTTAAACTTGCACTTCAGGATTTTATCAAAGCATAATTTGATGTTATGAACAGAATATTTAAAGAAAAGAAATTGTCACCATATAATAAACTGTAATGAAATTACTCAAATTTCAAATTTTCAATATGGAAAAATTCATCCATTCAATCCAATTTAAAAATGAGTTTTGATACAAATGTCAGCAGATACTGCCCAATAATTAATTAATTTTGTAATTGCAGCAATTTGGAAATACCATATTTGCTTGCCTATCAGTCACCACCTCTAAAATAAAAAAAAAAAAGAAAAGAAACTACACAGAATCCAATAGGCCTATAATTATTTATATATATATATATATATATATATATATATATATATATATATATATATATATAAAAATGCTGTGGTAATTAAAAACACTATTAAAATACTGAAAAATAAAACTATTACAATTTATTAACACATTCATACAGAATAAAGGTAACATCACTAAACTAAACCTATTTCCTTGGCATATGCAACTCATAACATAATATATCTTTCATTGGTCCTAGAATGTTTAAAGGCAGGTTTAAAGAAACTGAATACCAAATCCAATTTGTATTGCTTACATGCGTGCGTGTGTGTGTGTTTCCTTATTCACTCATATCAATAAACTGGTATTTCTTTTCAGTTAAAATAAATTTAAAGAGATACATTGGACTCAAATATATTGATGTCTCGTGTAATAAAAACAAAATAGAGATATAAATTACTATCTTTTGTCATTAAATATATTAAGATTTTAAAATGCTTTTTGTAGACTGCCCAAATTTGTTCATTAACTTTTTCAAAGTCTAATTTAAATGAACAAGGCAATAGCTATAGGTATCATACTGAATATAAAGTGTTTAAAAAATGAAAAATTTACTTTACTTACAATGACTTTAGATGTATACCCGCTATTAATTGCAATGGCATGGACTAAAAGGCGTCCTATCCCTGCTTCAATACTGTTAAATGATGGTGTCTGTTTATAGTGAACACCTGTTGACAAAAACAAAAATGACAATTCATCACAAAGAAAACACACAATTACTGAAATCCTTAAACATTTTCAAGAGAAACCAATTCCAAATTCCACTGCAATTCATTATATATATATATATATATATATATATATATATATATATATATATATATACACGCACAACCATCCATGTGTATTTGCATATTTGTGAGAACTAAAAAAGAAAAGAAAGTAGTAATATTTTTAGTTATCCATCTTGCAGTGGTGACACCAAGTGGCAGTGTTTTCATGAGTGTAAGTATAATAATCAAGAAAAAATATATTTTAAGACTTACAAGTGAAAACCTAATAATAGCAATCTATATAATAAATGTGAATGTCAGTGGCACACTTTTCAATTAAAGGGACACAACTCTCTAACTTTCAATAGCTCATCATCACCATCATCTTTATAATAATTATGAATGTCAGTGTGTCCCACTTTTTCAACTTTACTCCGAGAGGTCATAGCTCAACATATTATACTATTTTGGAATCAGGAGAACTCTGTGAGCAAATTAAAAACATTCCAGGCTGGGTTTGGACCTGCAATTCTGAAATTTTGGATTCCCAAGTTTTCATTACTGCAACTGTTTTTGTGACAAATTTTTTGGTACAATAACAATTTTTATAACTTGGAAATAAATTTGGGAATAATCAAAATTAATTGCGAAATCCAGTGAAAGTCACCCATGAAATAGAAATAATTTTTTGTATGGAAAGTAAGGACCTACATACATTAAATTGTCTTGAAATTAAGTGGTGGCAGAAGAATTATTGTTGAACTTTTAAAAGGCAAGCTTAGATATTAATGCAATACTTAATTGCAGCAATCAATTTTGACTTCTTCTGTAGTTTATTGTTGCCCATCGCATCTACTCCTCCCTACCTATTGTGATGGAGGACCAATAAAGAGCCCTCCAAAAGAGTTAGCTTAAATTAGGGCAGCTTTTAAGCTAGTTTCATATATGCTCTCATTTTCAGAAGTTTGGGTAAGTGTGTGTGTGTGTGTGTATATATATATATATATATATAAATAATAACTTTTTAAGAATTTCTAATAAGACAAGTGTATAAAAAAAGGTAGATACAAACAGAGTAATTACAATTCTTCAATATGGAAAGCTGTGTTCAAATTCAGTTTATTCCTGCAGATCCTTCATGGATCAATACAGATGCATCAAATCAAGTAACACTGTGTCATTATTAAATGAATGTTTTACAGACTCAGAATGCCAACTTGATGTTCAAATTAGACTGTCTTGCAGTGGGGTTGAAGGGATAAAATTGTCCTAATATTTACCTACAGCTGGAGGGGAAAAATAAATTTATGCCTTTCTCAAAGGCATTAATGCAAAGGGAATACAATCTGTCCCAGCCGGAGTTTGAACCATTTCCCAAATCCATTTTTAATGCTTTCAATTGTTGAGCCACCCACACCTTACAGGATAAATTTCTTTGGTTTGACTTCAGCTAATTAGTTGATGTACATAAACATTAGCAACTATTTTTTGTATAACAATTACATTATAATTAAATTCCAATGTGTCATATAGGGCTAAAACAACATTTGGCAACAAAATTGAACTAATAGGTATTTGTAGGCTTATCTAGAAAAGAAAAAAATGTAGCTGCCTTAGACAATATGTAACAAAAATACAAATTTAAAGCTATAAAAAATTTTGAGCAAGAAATTTAAAATATTGCAATATATGTAGAAAATTTAAGTTATTTTTTGTTATACACAATATTGAATATAATTATTATGTGTGCACACATATTATTTTATTATAATATTACTAATATAATATTATTTTTAATAGCTGACTAGCACAAAATCACAAGTTATCATGACTGAGGTTTTGAGTTTACTTGCCTTGTTAAATTGTTGATCACACCAGATTATGCATTCTCTCTAAAACTAAAGACTGTAAACTAACTCTATAACTAAAGACTGCAGTATAAACCACAGGTTGGCCCCATGATTGTTGAAGAGACACAAATGTTCCTGAGTAGGTGTCTGCAACAAGCCAGCCATACTTGCAGACAAGTGTCCTCAGAAATGAGCAGTCAACTCTTACATCTCATTATTAATGCATCATTTGCATATAATTATTATGGACATATTCTTGTATATTATGATTAATGCTATATATTTTTCATGTGTATTGTTATACTGCCTGTTCTATAATAGTTACATTTAGTGCCTGATATGTATAGGTAAATGTAACAACTATAATGAGACAGTGTATATATATATATATATATATATATATATATATATATATAAAATAAAAAATTGCTCTAAAATTATTTGAATTTTTTTTAAACATTAGTTTGTATTCAACAATAAAAAAAAGGAAAAGGAAAATCTGAGCTAAACTCTTTGAGTTATTTTTTTTATTATTATACCTGTGGTAAATGTATGAGAGTCTCTGTCTGTGTGCATGTGTGTGTGCGTTAAAAATGGAAGCTATTTCAACTTCTACCCCGGGTTTTGGTAAAGAGGCAAGTGACTTTGACACTTAGGTGTTACTGTTCTGATGTCCAGGACATTTCTTTTAAATTGCAGGAGACAGTCTAAAAAAAAAAAGTCTTCAAAAGAGTGAGTCACTCCCTAGAAAGTCTTTGATGTCAATTTTTATTAGATGGTGAGAGAATATAAAAACTGTCTGTAGATATTGGTATGGGGTTTGAACTTTTTTTTTCATTGCTGAATGAATAAACAAACCAATGTTTTCATTTTTTTTTATTGACAATTTACTTTTGTACACAATTTTGCCATTATTATTATTATTATTATTGTTTAAAGAAAGTTATTAAAAAATAAATGAAATCTTTACAGTAATAAGTTCCCTTCCGTTGGATTTCTTGCCTATTTCCCTCGATATTTAATATTCATCCAAATGTTGAATAAAATTGATTCTTGGTCTGAAATGATACTTTTTATCCTGAAATAAAATTCTAATTTACTTTTTAATGTATATAAATTAGCCTCCTACCATCACCCAATCTGGACATCACAGCCATGATATTGTTGCAGTGGGATTTTTCTACACCACCCCACAGGTAATAGTACTTTTTAAAAAAATATTGGGGAAGCAGGCCTAGGCTCCTAAGCACTACCTTCTGCAGGTACGGCCCTGTTATTGTTGTAGAGGGGTTTTATTTGGATCTCATGATTCTCAGCCCCCAAATTCCAACTCTAGAAGAGCTGTAAAATCAAATTTTCAATCAACTTTTATTTAACAGTTACCAAATTTTCCTACCTTGTCAAAATTACTGAATCTTCCGTTACTGAATTTTCTGTTACAGAATTCTTTCTAAATTCATAAAATTGAACTTTTATACGAAATGTTTGGTGCCTAGAAGATTTGGTTTGTTACTGAATTTCACGTTACCAAATTTTTCAGCCACCAATGCAACAATATCAGGGTCATACTTTTTGGATGATGGGGTTAGGGGGCTAAGACCTCCTCTAATATTTTTGAATATTTTTTAAATAAGTAAAATCAATTTATCTATGTTAAAGTTAAGTTCTTGTATCTTCTTTTCAAATTATTATTTTAATAATACTTTTGATAATTATAAATATAATAATTTTTAAAAAAATTTTTAAAAATTGATTTATTTTCATGTTGTTGAGCTTCTGTTTTTGAATTATTGTGATGAACTTTTGTTAGGCCCCCAGCTTTTGTCTGTTCACCATATGCCACCAGAGCAGAAATGGCAATTTTGTACCAATCAGAATCACTACCCTAAATCTCTTTTGTTTGATGCCATTTGACACCTACCCATTATTGTTCCACGCCCCAGAGAAATAATATAACATATTGCCACAACTTTTTACTACAGAAGATTTGTGTTTTTCTGTTGTTCAAAGTGTAGTATCTTCACAAGTTTCCTTTGCCAACTGGAACACTGATGAGAATAACTTTTTGCCCCAAGACTGTAAGTTAACTAAAGTTTTACAATGCATCTATCAAAATCTTTTAAAAGCCTATTTGTATAACAAACAATGGTAAAGCTTACTTTCAATGCCATAAAATATTTTCAAGAAAATGAATTTATTTAAGTTGGGAATTAGTTCAAAACAACTGATATTTTCTGATGTGTTCTTTACAATAAAACTGAGACTTTCCAAAAAAGTATCTGTTTTATTTGTTCTTAGCATTGGTTTTAATAAGAAAATTTAATAACCATAATTTAATAATTCATTTTAGTTAAATTCATTAGAAAAAAACACCGAGTTATTTTTTAAGTTCATTCATTTGTCATTCCAAAACAGATTTAGGCAAAGCAGGGGCATGCAGAGGTTGTGGGGGTGTCCAAGGCCAACTACTTGATTTTATGCCCTTAAGCAGTGGCGGTGATGGGGGGATGGCATTTGCACAAAAGCAAACATTTAAAAAATACTTCAGGGAATTATTGATTCATATTTTTTGTTAGATTTATTTTATACAATTCTTTTTTTTATTTATTACAAAGACATCAGCCACTTAAGACAACTAGAAGAATTTAATTTAAGTTTTCAATTTTAAAAATATCTCTTGAATAATTTTTGTTCTTGGAGTTTTTCTTAAGACACCCATTTAATGAAAATTTCAGTATATATTCATTTATTACTTTTATAACAAATAGGTTCTTTTATAAAAAAAAAACAAAAAGCTTTGTGAAATCTTTTTCTTTATATAACTACCCCCAAAGTTTGCAAGACTGACTTTACCCCCAAAAATGTTCAAGTCGAAAATTTTTACATTTCCATAAAGATTAATTGCTGACATATCTGCTGAAAAAAAGTTTTACAAAGATTCCAGCACAACACATGAAAAAATATCCCTGGTAAACAGAATTTTCTTTAGAAAAAAAAAAAAATGGTGCTAGTGCATGACAGGATCAGATGAATTTCTATTATTTAGGCAATGATTTGACAGAAAGTTTAGGGCTCATTAGCCTAGGGATAGGAGTTTTCTGTAAACGTTTGACAAAAGAGATAATCTGCAATTTACATTGATACATAGTTACTAGCATCACTTCCACCTGGTCCTGTCATGCATTTGCTCCAAAACAAAGAAAATTGGAGTTATTAAAATCACTTCAAATTTCATAGTGCTATTCATATAAAATGAAAATTTTATTGTAATTTATTTTATTAGATACAATAATGCATCATACCATCCTATGTGAACAATTCAACTAGAAAAATTGAAAATAAATACAATGTATAAATACAAATTAGTGACACACATTACAGCTTAAATTAATGTTTTGCGACAATTTTTATTGTCAGAAGGCCTCAAAATGCTGCTGAAACTATTTCTTTTGGGGCCCCCACCTGCTAAAAAATAATGGTGGAGGACCACAATGGGTCCCCTGATTGGGGGGTATGGTGGTAAGACACACGGGCCCTGCCTAAAATTCCATTAAAATTTGATAATTTTTTTTTTTAAATTTGTCTTAATGACACAAAGATTTTGACTATAATATTTAATTTTATATAAGGTTCGGGCATTTTTCCTCTACGCGTCACTTTTTAGTCCACAAACAACTTTTCAACGTGAAAAAGAGTAGTGAGTATTACAGAAAGGTTACTTTCTGTTTTTTGGGGGGAGGGGTGGGGGTATTATCCCAGAAACTACAAATGGAAAGTGTGTTCAAAGAAAGTAAACAAAAAATTGATTAAAAACCATTTCTTCTTTCAATTCTGGTTAACCTAATGTTGCAGTTACATTTTTGCATTAGTCACTTTATTAATTTTCTTTTTTTTTTTTTTTAAAATCACAGATGAGTCAGCTAGATAGTAAGATAAAGCTACCTAAGGACTTCTATACCAAGCTGGAGGATGGCTCATTCAAGTGTATATCCTGTTTGCCCAAGGAGAAAAAGATCTCCATCAGCCAGAAATCTCTCTTTAACCTGAAGAGACATATCCAGCAGACCCATATGTCAAAGATTTCTGAATATAAGAGGGCCCTAGCCAACAGAAGGGAGAAATCAACTGATGACAGTCCTGCATCACCAAAACAGGCCAAGATCAATGTTATGATGGCAGATTTCTAGAGGAATGTCGTTATACAAACAGGAGTGAATAAGAGGATTTTTCAAATGATCATAAACTCAGGGCTGAATTTTACCTTGGTTTGGAACAAGGGTTTTAGAGAACTTCTTCATTACATTCAACCAACAGCGAAACCTCTCTCATACTCTGCTTTTATGATGATGTTTACCACAAAGTCTAATATTTGCTAAATTGGACTATGTGTGTATTACATGCGACATCTGGTCTATTGCTACCAAAAGTTATCTTGGGATGACTGCCCACTACCTGGACGGAAACCTGAACAGGAAATCAGCAGCCCTGGCCTGTTCTCAATTGAACGGTAGTCACACATTCAATATTCTGGCAACGACCATTGAAGATAAATTGAAAGATTTTCGCATACAAAACAAGTGTGTGAGAGTCATAACTGATAATGACAGTAACTTTGTAAAAACCTTTAAGGTACATATAACCAAAACAAATCTTCAACTTTTTTGTTGAAAAATATTAATCCAATTAATCAAAACGTGAGTTCTTGAAATTTTTCTTTTACGACAAACATAAATAGCCTAAAATTGTGTCCTTTTTAGAATAAACCATTTTTAATTAAAAAAATGAATGTTACAAAGCCGGCGATTTCTTTAAATTGTCAATTAATAAAAAAAAAAAAAAAATGATCATATCTACTTTTAAGGAATATACTGCTGTTGAAGTTTCTGAGGAAGAAGATTCCTATGTAGATGATGATGAACCAATCTCTATAAAGAATGCAGGGAATCTACTAGACCAGAGATATGACACTGAAGAAATTTACCACCTACCTAGCCATTACCACTGTGTTGCCTGCACAATTTAATTTCAACTAAGGATGTGGAGTTTGCTTTGAGGAATGCAGTTTATTTGGAACAAACAGCAAAAGTTCACTAAAATAGCAGATAAGGTGAGGAAGAAGTGTGGGAGTTTGCTATTTAAGATTCCAGTTATTACAAAATGGAATAGCACCTATGAAGCTCTTGAGAGAGTGCAGAAGTATTTTAAAAAAAGTGGAGATAACCTGGATGCTCTCATGGACACTCTATGAACTTTAGGGAAGCACACGAATAAACTCATGACATACATTCCCTATCTTCTGAGTGGCACTGGATACCGAAAGTTTTTAAGTATTTATTTTCCCTACTTCCTTTTTCCCTACTTGTGGACAGTGGGAAGTTGCTTTGAAGATCTCATATTTAGACTTTACTGTCTATGCAGTCATAAAACTTTAAGCTTAAATAAAATGTTAATATTATATAATGCACCCAGTTCATTTATATATTTTTGTCTGTAATGTTGAACATTTTGCTGAACTAGAATTATTTCCATTGTACTGGTAATGTTGGGTAGTTTTTTTTTTTTTTTTTTTTTACAATACTGGTTAAATCTTTGAAGATGTTTATAAAATCCAGATGTATAAAGGCCAACTTCATGCAGAGTGCAGCAAGAATTGGAAAAAATGCTTAAAACTTAAGTAAAAACATGGACTATCAAGTTGAGTCAAAAGTTTTTTTCATATTTTCACTGATGAGTTTTGGTAACTTGAATCACAATGTTATATCATTAATTTGATACAACTCGTTATCCAATGGTTGCTGATGAATTGTTTATTCTTTATTTTCATATATAAACATTAATTGTTTATTCTTTATTTTACAGCTTGGATAATGGGTGGTGAAGAAAATTGCAATTAGAACCATTTTATGCTACCTATGGAAAAAAAAAAGAAAAAAAGACCAAGTGTAAGAGTAGCAGCTAAGAAAAAAATAATGATGTGGAAGGCTCAGGGACTGTCAACCAATGTGTGTCACAATACTAGTTCAGATGTTTCAAGGAAGGTGAAACAAGCCTCAAATGCAAACCAAGGTCAGCAAGAACTTCTGTTGTGGAAGATGAGGCCTTGCTTGAAATGGCTGAACAGCCAAGTACAAAGACTCGTATATTGTCAGCAGAATTTGGTCCATCAATTGGCACCTCCATAAGGCCCGTCAAGAAGTTCTTATGAACTGACTGATGATCAGGCTCAATGGTGTGTGAACATTTGCATATATTCACATCATTGAGCCTGGTTGGGAAGTTATTTGCAAAACTGCTGGCAAATCCTCGAGATGCCCATTTTCGGCATGGAATTGTAACTTGTAATGAAAAATAGATCCATTTTTATAATCCTAATAAGAGAAATCAGTGGTTTAGTTCTGGCAAGGGCAGTTTGAACAGAAGGTCATGTGTGTTTGGTGGAATTTCAAGGGGGTGCTGTTCCAGAAGGCTATGCTGTGAAAGCTGACTTTTATGCTCAACAATATATTTAGAAACTTACAAGTCAAAATTTAATAACAGTATGGACTTTAAATGTCAATTTCATATATGGCATAATTTTTGATGGAATGGATAAACTAGTGTGTACTTGATTTTGATCAATTCTTCTACTAGCAGTTTCATATGCACATGTGATTTTGAGGTTGTAGTACAATTTCTAGACAGTAGGATGGATATATATATATATATATATATATATATATATATATATATATACACACACACACACACACACACTTTAGATATTTGGTCAGAAAAAAATTGAGATATGGATTTCAGCAGGAACTGTTTGTTGGAAAATGTGACCTATAAATAAGAAAACAATGATAATACCTACCTCCAATATAACTCTCTACAACAGTCATTCTATTTGTGGTTAATGTACCAGTTTTGTCAGAACAAATTGCTGTAGCATTTCCCATGGTTTCACAAGCATCCAAATGCCGTACTAAATTGTTGTCGTACATCATTTTCTAAATTTTTAAGATAGAAAGAAATTACTGAATTAAAACAAATACAAAATAGTTGAGAAAAAAATAAATTAAGTATGTATGTATGTATCTATAACTATTTGACTGAATGACACTGTAGCAAAACAAACAACAAAAATTTGGGAATAAGCATATGGCTTTCTGACATTAATATCTTCATGGAGTCATCATCCTTATATCAACTTTAGAATTTGTGGATATCAATTTTACTATATACAAGATTGGATATTAAATACTTCTATGAGTACATGCAAATTATTTTTGCTAAGTACATGAAGTCACCAAAAACAAATAAAATTGAATTTGTTTATTTTTAAGCTTATTTAGAATATCAAGAATTCCATTAAATACTTAAAACTTAAGTTACAAGAATTTACAATTTTTAAAAATAAATTGATTTTTTCACCTTCATTGCTTTTTATAGCAACTACTCAGACTGTCAGTAAACAGCATGAATCCAAAAAGAATAAGCCTTGAAGTGAGAATTAAACTACTATCTCTTTTGCCCCGGGAAGCCAGTTTTCCAAGCACTATCAACTATTAATAATTTTTTATTTTTATTTTTTTACCTTAATTTTAGTTGCTCTCATTGCAACTAGTCAGTCTATAGTCATCAGTATAGATCACAAATAAATACTAATAGCTGTAAAAGAACAGTTTGAGTATCTATGATAAGCAACCGACATTAAGATGAAAGAAATAAGAGTAAAAAATACTTCATCTAATAATAATTCATGATATTACAGCTGATATTATTTGTGTAAATAAAGCAACTAAAAGTAAGATCAAATACTATTCAAAAATTACTAACAGCTGACAATGCTTTATCTAGTATAAATTCAAGACATCTTGAAGCTATGTAATTGATTGATTCCACTTATTAAATTATTTTGATTATATTTTCCTTTGTTTAAAAAGATGAACTTGAGAAATCTCTAAAGATTTTGCCATATTTACAACTGAAAATATGACTAGAGTTGAAAGTATTTTTAATACAACTTATTTTTAAGAGATTATGCAATTGTAATACCTTATAATAACTACTGACTAATGTCAAGAAATTTGTTTATGTATAAAAAAAAAGTCATAGTTACTTTCATATATATTTGAAAATAAACTGTAGATTTCAGTAAAAAAAAAAAAAAAAAAAAAAATTAGTGAAAATTTATTCCCTTCCTGTGCTTCAAAACAAAGCCAAGTTGCTTATCTTTTAAATGTCTTTGCAAATAGTCTTCACTGAAGGAGGGTGGGAGGGGAGAGAGAGAAAAAATCTGTTGTGCTTGGAATTTTTTTTTTTTTTTTTTAGTGAAGGGACCCACAAATTCAAAGTTCCAATTAGTAACAAATTTAATAATATTTTTTTGCATCTCTGACAGTAAGTACTGGATATATAGTTAAAGTTTGTGATGACTGAAAATGATGTGTACAGAATTAGCATGTTTGATAGGATGCATTGGAGTGGGAAATATTCATTTAATATTCAGCTAGGAATTTTAAAAAGACTGGTAATGCTCCAGTAGTAATGGCTAAGTGTAACCTACAGACATAAATACACATGTGCACACACATTTTCAGTCATCATTAACATCTTGTAAACTTATGAGAACATGTTAAAAATTTCCATGATTTTCATAATCATTTAAATTAATCCGCCTCCTCTCCAAACACCTTGTTAAATTACTTCTTTATTTGGTTATCCCTTCAAATTACTCAAAATAAGTAATACATCTACTTTTAATGAATAGATATTTTTAATTAAAATCAATTTTAAGAATTCATTTAAAATGGACATATTTAATGACACAAATTGACAATTGAAACAAATGAAAAGAGAGACATTTTTATTTTGTTTCAATATCTATTTCAATGTCTGAGCCAAAGTCTGCAATCACTGTTACTTAATTCTGGCATTACAGTTCAATATATAAATATGTATATTTTAAAAACAAGAATATTGCACACTTGCTTAGTTCTTTTTTTCAACATAGATAAAATAAGCTTAATTGTTGGAATAATAAACTGACATAGCAAAAGTCATGAGCTTGACTAACGTGGTAAGAAATTCTCTGCTGCTTGAAGACACACATCTTGCGGATATAATAGACACAAAGGAACATCATTGTTGCAGACACAACATGGGTCTGGGACAGCATTTACTACTACATTTTCAATAGCAGCCAGAACAAGGAGAATTGAAGTAATTTGGAAAACAAACCCCTAGAGATTCTCAAATCACCATTTTGCATAACCAACACCTGTTTGTGTAATATTCCTAGTCAATAAATTGTTAGAATTTCTGATGTTGTTTTTTCATGATTGAAGATATCTCCCAACTAGCTTCAATGTTAAAGGACTGACATTGAGGATCATGGAAGAAACAAGTTACCACACTCCCTGGAAGTGTGGTAACTTCTGCAGGGAGATACAATGAACTACTAGGGGATTGCTGTCGAAAAACAAACTCGAAACACTGACAGAGAGTGTGTTTGGTCAGCATTCATCTGTGTTCAATTCAGTGGACGGCAGTAACCTGGTCACAGTCGATTCAGTGAACGAACTTCGGGTTGGGTTTGTGTGTAGTAAACCATTTATACTGACTCAGTCCCTCACCTGGCTTCTGACATTACTAATTGGACTCTGGAAGACTGACAATGTGTGGTGTAGTAGGATTTGTTACAGTTGATTTAGCCTGATGATAGGGTTATGGGGTGACACAGAAATATGAGGCCATGGATACCAGTTATCATCAAGGTTCTGTGAATGCTGTGTTCAAGGTACATAAGTTGGGTCTACTCTTCTGCTTAAATGCATCAGTGACCAGTGGCTGCTATGCTACACTACTTGTGAATATTTCACTCATACATTCCAGGTAACCCAACAACAGGTGATTTCAAGGGGTTAATGCATCATTTCACCAAGCACAAATTGCCCAGAACTGGTTTCAAGAGCTTTCAACCGTCCATGAGCTGAATTTATGGAATGTAGTGGTCTATTCATATGTAAGATCCTGCACTTAAACATTATCAAGTGGCTGTGGATATTTATAGAAATGGCATTACTCAATCTTTCTCCAGAAGTCTTTTGCCCACTTGTAAGATCAATGTCACATGTTGCCACATTTTACTAAGCTAAAGATTGTCTTACACAATAGTAGGCACTTATTTCATGACTTTTGGCATGTCAATGTATAATCCTGCATAAATATCAAGTACTATTTGGAGATAAAACTTTCAAGTGTCAGAACATGATCAATTCAGCTTATATTCATGTATTCCAATTTTGTTTGAAACATTGCAGTAAAATTATTGCAACTTGGATAGTTCTGTTATGACTCATCTCTAAGTGACAGTAGTTACAAGCAAGAGGCTAAAAGAACTAATGATTTTCAGGTAAGAAAAGACTTGTGCAACTATCATAATTAGAAAAGCCCTTCAAATATAAAGGAATGCCAATAATAGTCATAGTAAAAATACTTTCAAAATCCACAAAGCATTAGTTCATATCCTCCTGGCAGAAGATTAAACTAATACCTTCTTTTCCTCCCCTCTCCCAATATATCAAAATTATAATTATAAATTATAATACTGGAAAGTGAAAATTTCACCAAAATATATTGAAAAGTTTTCACATGAAATCAAGAAAATACAAACTTTAAGCAAAGTTGTTTAAAAAAGGTACAAGTTAAACTAATACTAGGTATGAGTTTAAAAAATAAATCAATCGTCAATGTCCCCAATAATAAAGTATAGGAGAAAAGTGTGTGTGTGTGTGTGTACACACACACACACACACACACACACACAGAGTCAGAAAATCTTCATAAATTTAATGCATCTTGCTATTTATTTAGCTTCACCAGAAATTTCTGAAAGTGAAATAATGTAGAGTTATGTTTCAATTTTGAATTGTTTTCACTGGTTGTGTAGATGTCACATGTACATTGTATGCCACTTGTACTGATTTCATGATGAAAATCTTTTGACATACTTACATTGCTTGCTATTATCCATGAGTGGTCCCAACTGATAGGGTGTTTGACGATAACTAAGCCTGTAAACTGATCCAAAATTTTCACTGGATTGTGTATGTTCTATATAATCAATATTCACCATTGAATTAAGTGCATTGACAAGTAGATTATGCTGAAAAGTATTTATTATGTAAAATAAATGCTTTTTTATGCTATGAATTATTATTGCGCCTATATTCACAGAAGAAATTCTGATAATATAAAAAGAATTCACCAGAATTAAATGAAACTTTTCATGGGTTCAAACTTAAAATCACATGTATGCTGCATAATCTATATCATACTTACAGCTATGGAGGTCTGCTGAAGTGTGATAATTAGTTCCCTAGTTTCCGAGTTCAATTCTCACTGGATACACCACTATTGAAGCTTTGTGCCATACAAGGCAAAATTTACTAAATAACCTTTTAAGTGAGAGTTGCTCAAGTCTCATTACACTGGGAGCAATGCTAAATAGAGACTTGTTTAAGTAACTAGTTGATTTGTAAGGAATTAACTGTTTCTGTTGATTTGAATTCAGGTGTACTTTTTTTTTTAGCAGTTTCAGGCCATGCATCTTACTTAGCAATCATCTATGACAGGACCTCAAAACCCTTCATTAGTTGAAGATCATGTGGAATAAAACTGATTATATGCAGTTAGAAAGTAGGTTACAAAGTTAACTTCATTTATTCTTCATAAAAATTAAAAATTGAGAACATACTGTTTGTGAAACAGATGCTAGTTGATTTGGTAGCAAATGAGCAGGGGACAAAAGAGTAATAATGAGATATTATTAAAATTTCTTAAATATCAATTGAAGGTTTGAACTTATCAATGCCACTAAATATTATATTCCTTTTTACCTATTAGGGAAATTCAGTGGTACCAACAACAAGTGTGGTTGATGCTGCTTCATGACTATCCCTAATTCAAAATGTAAGACCAGGGTAGAAAACCATTAGGAAATCTAAGATTGGTCATCTGAGTGCTGTTACCAAAAGAGGAACCAATCAGCAGAAATGATCAAAGGACTGTCATCAGATTGTCTAGCATTTGAAAAAAAGAATATTTATCAGTAGAAGCCAGAATTAAGAACAGACAAAAGTCTTTTTGTTTCACTCACTAACCAGGTGAAAGAGCCATGTAAAAAGACTTTGTGAAGCTTCTTTCTGCATGAAGATAAAAGCTTTGGAGAAAAGACTAAAGACTGGGTTACTTACACACAGTAAAGCAAAATCAAATGACAAAAAGGATTCTTAACAGACTTCCATATTTATTGTTTAAAGACTTGAGACTAAAACAAACAAAAACAAAAAATTCTTTCTTCAGCACTGATAGGTTTCTGTTGTATCTACTGTGTATAAAAATTTATATCAGTATGTGTTTCCAACAAATCTAGACTAATTTGTCATTTTGAAGATACAATATTTTGTCTTTGGTCCATGTACACAAGCTCACATCAAACCATTTGCTTCAAACTTTTTGGCTTCTTGTTTTCACTTCATTAGTTTCACATATGGCAAATATGGCTGAGTAATCTAAGAAAGAATGGTGCAAACACTATGGTAATAAGATTTATTTATTTTTTTACTACTCTACACTAATACAATCAAAGAGCAGAAAAAACTAATTTAAGAAACATGGTCATAGTTCAGTTTGAGGAAAAAATTTTTTATGATCTGATATTTCAACTGCAAATAGATACCTGATGAGGACCAATGTCACTAAACAAGCAATGGTCTGCTAGAGAAATTAGTGTCACAGCAGGTATAAATGTAAATATTTACAAAGCTTCACCTAGATTTGCACAGAGCCAATATGGTGAAAATTAATGACTCAGACTATCTTGCTAAGCAATGCTTGATGGCAGGAACAGATGATAGAAGAAAGATAAAAACATAGTTATAAAATGTCAAAAACTTACCCTAACAGAATAAGCCAGTGCCAGTGTAACAGCGAGTGGTAGACCTTCAGGAACAGCTACCACTAAAACAGTGACACCAATAATGAAATATTTTACAAAAAGATCTAAATATAACGTAGTTTTCTCAGATGTCCAAGTTTCTTTTTTCACAGCAAATTCATTGATGCAGAATTTCATGATAAGGATAACAACTGTCAGGACTGCGATAGCTGTGCCTGGAAAAAAAAAATTAATCAAGGTAGTTTTAGTGGAAAGAAAATAATCTTTCATATTAAATGGATTATAATAGGTATTAAAATTGAAAAAAACAAAACAAACATGTTTGTATTGCTCAGTTGCCTATGAGGAGGGAATAATTGATTAACAAAATATTTTTGGACCATTTTCTTCTTTCAGAAACAAATCATTTAGTCATTTAAAAGTACTATTTCTGATGGCATACAATCTGCCACCAACAAAAGAATTTGATAAACTAAGAAAGCACAGATTAGTGAAGCACTCGATGGTGGCTTCATGACAAAACCCATGGCCTTAGTTGTCTTAGTCTTTTGATATGTGACATAGTAGTTTGCTATACAAACGCTCCAGCTATGACATCTCGGCAATTATTAAATATTTTCTCTTGGGTAGATTCATGAAGTGTGCTGTGAATGGTCAGTATTCTGAAGCCCAAAAGATCAATGTTAAGTGTTTCGCAAGGCTCTCTTGTTGGGCATAGCCTCTTTTGGCATTTTATTAATGAGCTAATTGGGAGGATTTCCAGATCCAAGTAAACATCTATGCAAATGATACTACAGTTTATGGAAACACCTTCAAAAATAAAGATGTTTGGAGCCTTGCAGCTGATCTCCTCTCTGAACTTGCTCTAACAGTTGAATGGCAGAAAAAGTGGCTTGTAAATGCACTTGCTACTCTCACATTCATATCACAAACCTCATACAGTAACTGTTTACACTATCTCTTGAAACTTGCACTGAATGAACTTTTAGCATTAAAAAATCAGCACCTGCTTCTGAAGTTATAAATTAATATAAAAGGAGGCATTACTTTTGGAACAAACCCCATATATATGAAACCATTTGAGTTTCTAAGTGTTCAAGGTGCAGGAAGTAAAAGAAAAAAAGATTTACCAGCATATCCTATCTGGATGGCCAGCCTTGTCAGTTTGGATTGCAAAACAGATTTTTCTTTACGAGTGACTTTCTTTTTAACCTCCTCGTCTTTTTTCTCAGGATTGTCTGATTTGTCTGATTTGCCTTCCTTTTGGTTATCAACTGTCTTCTTATTACTGCCAGCTTTGTGTTCATTGGTATTTAGAACGTTGTGTGAGTTGCCTGTAGCAACGTTACTTGGTGCTGAATCAGAGTCTGGAGAAAAGAAACAAAATGTATTGCCATTATATAAGAAAGGATAAATGTCCTAAAAGGAGGAGAGATGCAGGATAGCATAGAGCAAGAATGAATTGACAAATCATAGTTTTTACCCATGACAATTTTTGGTTTGAACAACAAGCATGAAACATCACGTAAAAATCACTAATAATTTTTTTTTTTTGATGCTAAACTGCAATTTATATTATTCTTATTTTAAAAAATAATTTGAATAAGACTATGTAAATAAAGGATTTACAAATTAGAAAAATTATGGTTATAGGGACTTTTCAAAAGTTATTTTTATATTTATACTTAAAAATAACATTTGAAAAAAACAAACAAACAAAAAAAACAAAAACTGTGCAAAATTCTCTATGAAATGCTTAATACAACAAATGATTCATGTTTTGAATTAATGTAAACTGAAATATATCATTTTTTTTTTAATCCTGTAATGAAATCTTTAAGGGGGATCTTGGATTTTGGAAGAAAAAGAAAAAAAAATACTGCAGGAACATGATTTTAGCTCAGTTAAAAATGAATTTTTTTTAGCAAATTGATATTATTTGTTTATACCCTTGTTAATTGTGCAAAAATTTATATCAGCTGAATCTGTATATATGTATAAAAGCCTAAATAATTTTTGATGTAAAATACCAAACCCCTTAACCTTGAAATGAAACTTGGTCTCTGTAATGGATCAACAGTCTATAAAATAGCATGCAGGCATTATTAATTATAACAGAATAACAAAAGTTTTCAGAAAAACAGATTTTTTTAAATATAACAAAAGAAAAATCCTACTAGTTTGCATTATCATAAAATGGCAATGTTAAAAATTTTGAGGATAATGATATTTATTAAAATCAGCTGCTCAGAGATGAACAGTTGTAGAGAAAGCAGCAGAGAGAGAGGGAAAAATGTACTATGAGAAAGACCTGTCTGCTTTGAAAATAACCATCTAAAATTTTTGGAGCTTGAACATTGATACCAATAGAAAATACTCTCCATAAGCCATGAGGTTAGCTCACAATTTTGAAGAAATTCATTTGGATTAATTTAAATATTTCAATTTATACAAAATTTTTACAGAAAACTATTAAAGTAACAAATTAAAATTTCTAACATCTCCAAATTTTTTTAACAGCCCAAGTTACTAAGTATAATTAAAAAGAAATTACCAAGTATAAGACAAAAAATATAATAAATCAAGTAAAAATCAGGCTAATTTTCACCAAATTTAATCTTTCAGTAAAAATAATGAAATATTTATAAAGTTGGTATTAAAAAAATAACCTTTTGATGAGAAAAAAAGTTAATGAAGGCTCTCTGAATACAGATATATTTTTTAGTAAATGTTAAGGACTAAACATTTTGGTTAAGTTTTGATTCCACACTTGGCATTTAAGACTTGTCTCCCCTGTTTATTCTCTTTGCAGTCTTACCTGTGTGAACTGCTGCTACTTGTTTCAGAAAAGTCTCATGCAATAATATATGAACTTGGTTCTTTAAATGTGTGTGCTGTGCATGTGTGTATAAAAACAAAAGGAAAACTTTACTTTACTAATACATTTCGTCCTCTGATGGACTTTATCAAAGCAAATATAAGTATTTTATTTTGAAAAAGTATTTATAAACAGAAGTAAAAATGTCATTAGTTTTTCAAAATTTTAAAATTTAAGAATGCTTCTTCAGACTAATTGTGAAAGTCAAGGTAAACTATGGAGGATGCTAAGTGATGCCTAATAAACAAAAATGAGTAAAGGTTGTTACTGCTGTTGTTGAATTTTTTTATATAATTATTTTATTTTACTTTGAGAAATTAATTTATGTATTTACTTTCTCTTTTAATATATGGCATTCTTTAGATCGAAGTTGTGGTTGAGCTTATTTCTATACCAGGTATAACAGCAAAACTGTTCATCCCACTAAATGTTTAATATCTAAAAAAAGAAAGAAAAAAAATCACTAAACTAACTGAGTTTCTTTTTTGCAGGTTTTCAGATAAGATGTTTAAAAGATGTTTAACCATCTTGATATCATTTGTCATAAACCCTGAGTTATTCAGGTAGAAAAAGAACAGGTTAAAATCGTTTTCTATTAGCCAAACTGTCTTCTCAACTGAGCAATAGTGAAAGGAAAATGATCATGCAGGCCTTCAGTAATGGTGCCAACATTCATACTCTGGCTCCAAAGTCCATTCAAGAACCATCAAGAGAACGGTGAATAAGTTTAAAAAAGAGGGAACAGTAGAGAGGAAAACTGGATCAGGAGGTCACAACTGAAAGAGGAATCATCATTTCAACTTAGAGCTAAAGTGATCAATTAGAAAAGATCCAACTCAATTGATAAGACGTTTGGTACATGAGAGAGGAGTTTCAGCTATGACAGTCCAAAGAGTATTGAAAAAAAAACAAACTTGAAAATGAAATCATATGTGAAACATGTGAGGCACCTTGTTACTCCAGGACAGAAAGTTAGAAGGTTAGAGAGGGTGAAGATCATCTTGAATAAGTTGGAAAAGGATTCAGGAATTATATATATATATATATATATATATATATATATATATATATATATATATATATATATATACTTAATTTCACTATTCATGAGCTTTCACTCCTTAGCTATGATTAATTAATGAACATGTAATTTTTGTTTATTTTTGATTTCATCACAATTCTTCTGTTAAGTTTGGAGAGTAATTATACATTCTTATTGCTCAAAGTAGAGTCCAATAATGTCATACAAACCTCAGAGAATTCCAGTAAAACATCTTTAATCCTTTGTAAGATACACCAGTTCAAAGTCTTAGTCTAACAATTGGACAATTTTGCTGTCCCTCCCAGTATAAGATTAATGCATTAGATAAATTGTTGTGTATAAGATCCTTTTTCTGTTCATAGATACGTTTTTTTTTTTTGTTTTTTTTTAAATTTCTTTAATTATAAGGAACAGTTGTGAGTTTATTTTATATATACCTGCTTCAGAAGTATTATTGGTATGGACATTTTTGGTTCTGATCATATACATAATAGTTTGGGATGGTGTTAGAATTATTTTGATATTGTCAAGATTGGATAAATTCAATACCTTGTATTATTTAAAATAAATAAATATATAAATTAATTTCTCAAACTACAATAAAAAAAATAATTGCAATAAAAAATATATATCAGAAACAGCAATAACAACCTTTACTCATTTTCATTTATTAGGCATTATATCATTTAGCATCCTCCATTTGTCTTTATTCATATTTTTCTTTTACAAATATATTTTTATTTAATATTTGCTTATGAGAATAAATTGCTCTAACCAACATTATTACTCTCTACAGAAAATTTTAAGGATTTAAGTTTTACAACTGTATCAAAGACATTTTTACAGAATTTACAATAATGAAAAGAGTTTATAAGTGCATTAGTTATCTTAAATCTTTACTAAAAAAAAAAAAAATCACTGAAATGCAAACTAGAAAAGAATTGGGTAGCCTAAGAAAAATCTATTATTAAATAGAATTATAAGTGTTTCATTTTAACCAACTTCATGAAGAAAAAAAAAAGGATCATTTTTATTGTAACAGCTGTCATATCAGCATGCATTAAAAAAAGAAATTGTTGAAACTGACATATTTTGGGTTATTGATTCTAACACTGAAGATAAAAGAAAATAAGCAACACCTTGGGAATATTATGCTTTTATAAGAAAAAAATACAACTAAAATGTAAAAGAAAAACTTATACAGTTTGAGAAGATACTGTAAATGATCAAATGTATATAAAAAAAATTAACTTTAGTTTTGTGCTGGCGATTTCTTACTGGATGAGGCTCCACAGTCAGATAGACTAGATGAAGCTGATAGTGATCATATCAAGACATTACTTGAGAATAATCATAATTATGCAATACAAGAGAGCCTACATACTCAAGATATCCAAATGAAGCAGTGAGAATCATTGTTAGACACTTTGATGTGTGGCTTCCACATAAATGGAAAAACCTGCTGGATTATATTTCTGTGCTTCATTCGCTATTTAAATGTGATGAATGTAACAATTTTTAAAATAAATGGTTATGGGTAATGAAAAGCGAATACATTACAACAATGTGAAATGTAAGTGAAATGAACTACCCCTAACCATACAAAAGATAAATCATCATCCAAAGAAGCTGATGCCATGTATATAATAGGATTGGAAGGAGTCCTCTACTAAGAACTCAATCTGAATAATAAGATAATTTAAAGAAGTACTGCTTGCAATTACACCAAGTGAAAGCAGCAATTGGCAAAAAATATCTGTAATTAATTTTGAGAAATATTGTAAAATACCATTAGGATAATGCTAGGCTGTATGTGTCTTTGGTGACTGTTACAGTATAACTGAGTTTTTACTAACCAACTATATTAAGTTGATTTTGCACCTTCATATTATGATTTATTCCAGTCTTACAGAATTCCTTTAAGAAAATTTACTTTTCTCCAAAACTGCAAGTGGTGTTAAGAATAATTCTTTGCAGAGATAGATAAAACTTTGCCAAATAGATAAAAAGATACCAGATGTTGAAAGAATATGGTAAATATGTTTAATAAAGGCCATGTTGAAAGTAAAATTGAAAAAAAAAAAAATTTTTTTAATAAATCAAACAATTTTCATAAGAGTTTCAAATGCACATTCAAACTATTTTTTTTACTAAGTAGTAACCAAATGCCACTGGTTTTAATATGAAATATTTAACTTATTTTATAAGAGTATTTTCAATCATCCTTGTCTAACTTCATGTTAATTCTAAAATATGGAAAAGTTTAAATAAAATTCTAAATACAGATTTCATTATAATACTCTACCCACTAAAATGCAATTGCTTACTTTAAAAGGTACAGTTTGACTATAATGGGTTCATGTTTTCATTTTGTACATAGAGGACTGAGCTGAGTATGAATAGCATGTGATAGTTTGTTTTTTTTTCATTTTAATGGCAAACATTTT